GAGAGAGAGAGAGAGAGAGAGAGAGAGAGAGAGAGAGAGAGAGAGAGAGAGAGAGAGAGAGGGGGGTTTGTTACAGTGGGAGTGTGTGTTTGAAAGAGGAAGGAAGGGGGGTAAAAATGAATCAATCATGTAAATATTCTAACATCTCCAGCACAACATCCACAGTACAAATCAGGATTAACATGTGCCCCCTGTATTCCAGTCTGTCATTCACCCATGTCAACTGTACTATTCCAGGTCTGTCTACGTAGCTGTCCCATGTACCACACTGGTGCGTTGGCCTTCACCACGGTGGGTGGGGTGCCCAAGGTCGGTCAGCTGATGGAGAGTGCTTGGACTCTCAATGATACCTGCAGATTTAAGATCAAAACCATTGTCAGGTAAGAGGCTGTGTTCAAAAAACTGTAAACTAAGACTGTGTAATCTTAGACTTGATGTAAACTATTGTCAGGTAAGAGGCCGTGTTCACAAAGCTGTAAACTTTGACTTGATATAATCTCTGTGTTGTCACAAGGCACTGGTCAGTTTTATAAAGTTTCATGGAGTCTTTGTGTATATTGCTATGGCGATTACTCAGTTTAGTCTCACATTATATTGGTGAAATGTATGCCTATTGTGCATTTCGGTTGTGTTTCAGTGAGCCAAGAGTTGAGCTGAGACAGGAGAGTAAGAGTATGTCGTGTGAGAGTAAACCTGACATGCCACCACCCCCATCTCCAGCCTCCTCGACATGCAGTGATCAGAGCGGACCCACCTTACGGAGCCCTGGCACTCTCAGTAAGACCAACTAACAATTGCATGGGCACACACGCACATGCATGCACATACAGGCATAACTTAACACAAACTGGTATCTCTGACTCTAAGTAAGACTTACACGTACACTTGCATACATACACACACATAACCCAAACTGTTATCTTGGACTCTGAGTGCGACTACCATAATCTTGTACTTACTCACATACATATTTTATTGGGGACACTAAGTAAAACTAATACATAGTTGCATGCAGGCAGGCACACGCACATGCAGGCACGTGCATAATTAAATACCTTGCCTTATACAAAGTGTATTTTTTGGTGATACAGCTGTCTGAACTCAATGGCAGCTCTTATGGTGGATGTATCTTCTAGAAAATTTCACATTAGGAATGCTTATCCAAATTACTTGTGCAACCAGGACATAAAAAAATAGCAGAAACCTGTTTTAAAACATTTGTAAACAATCAGCAACAGATATTTTAGACATTGTTGTGATGGAACAAAGCCTTGCATGTACTCCTGTATACACACATTTAAGCATGCTTAGACGCGTACATCAACCTGTTAACTTATAAACGTCTCTCCCCCGCAGAGCGCAAGAAACAGCAGACACCAGTGAAAGAACTGATAGAGAACAAGAACGACGAGGAGGAGTGGGCATTGAAGGACGTCAGCTTCGTGGAAGATGTCAAGACTGTGCCCATGGGGCGCGTCCTGAAGGTGGACGGCGTTTACGTGGCGGTGAAGTTCAACAACAAGGAAGGAGAGGCCAAGGACGACTCGGCAGTGCTGCTACAGGATTGTAGACTGATGAGGAAGGATGAGTTGATGGTAGGGGTTTTTGGATATGTTGAAGGTGGGGGGATGCAGAGGGGGGACTATTTGACTGTTAAAGATAAGAACCCAGGTTGAGTAGGTGTTTGGGGGTGGTGGGGGGGGGGGAATGGGGCAGATGGCTCAGCTGTAGGATTGTTGTTTAAGGTAGGAACTTGGGGATTTTGTGTATATTTTGGGGGTGGAGAGGCAGGGGAGGGGGCAACTATTAGATTTTTATGGTACGAACTCGGCATTTTTGTATATTTTAAGGGTAGGGAGCTGGGGGAAACTATTAGACAGTTTATGGTAGGGATAGTAAAGATAGGTTTAGGTACATGTATAAGTGTTAAGGTTAATATATATGTCCATGTTTCAGGTGATCATGGGCAGCAGTGCCCCTCTCCAATATCAGACTGCTTTCAGATTGTGTGCAGATAGGCATAGCTATATGTATACATGTATAGGTATATGTGCAAAGGTATAAACATGTAGGCATAGTACATAGGTAAATGTATATGTTTCAGGTGATCAAGGGCAGCAATGCCCCCAGGATCCCAGACTGTTTCCAGAAGGTCCCCAAGAAGGTGATGGTGCCAGACAGTGGACAGATACTGGCCATCACAGTGGACTGTCATGGTAGGAGGCAACTGCTTTTACGGTTAACACTCAGCTAGGTCTTACTGCAAACCTCTGAGGCAAAACTCCCATAATAAAAATCTTAACTTCCTTTTACAATTTGCATAGTGAAAAAGAGTATGTTTTAGCAATTTTCTTTGCCTTACTGTCCTCAATCTCTCTCAGGAAGCTCACTTATTTTGACATTTGTCTATAAAAGGGACTTTAGTCTCATTATGTACCTGTGGCTGGGATTATATATATAGACAGCCCCAGCTACCTGTACAGTTACCTGTATGTTAACACCTAATCCCCTGGTTTCCCTGCCTCAGGTATCCACATGGTGGCACGTACAGGTAACAAGATGAAGTACATGGTCTATAACCTGAGTACTGGAAAGATAGACCAGGACCGTCTCTTCCCCACACATACCACTGCCTTCACTGGGAAGAGTGAGAGGAATATAGCCCTGATTAATGCAGGAGAGGTGGGTTACATGTGCCTGCGCATGTGCGCACACACACAATCACACACAGACACACGTTTTCATTGGAAAAATATTAAATATATAGCTCTGATTAATGCAGGAGAGGTGGGTTACATGTGGTTGCACACTCACGCGTGCACACACACACACACACATTGTTTTAGTTGGAAAAATATTAAATATGATGTTCTTGCAAATCATTTAATTTACTTTGTTGTTATTATTATTATTATTGATAATCCAAAAAAGTCCTCTGTGTTTCCCAGGACACACCGGTGGTGCTTCAGGACGGTAACGGTGCCCTGTACCCCCTGGTAAAGAACTGTGCTGAGGGTATCCGTGACCCTCTCTGGCTTGACCTGCCCCCCATGTCTGGCCTGGGGATGGGGGTACAGGGGCTCCACAACGTGGGACTGAATGCCAAGAACAGGGCTGTGGTCATCGTTGTGGCCTTGGAGGNGGGGGGGGTGAAATTTAGCTGATAGGGGATTGTTTGTTGAAGTGTGTTAGACTTTGTCAAAGAAGCAAGTGTGAATTAATGTCTAATAACTCACCACAAATTTAATTTTAAGGAACTATTAGATGTACATTGGAATTTTAAGCTTGTTAAAATGATAATCTGTTGAAAGTTACTACTTCAAGGTTTGAAGTAACTTAATTTCTTTATAGTCAGAAAAGTTCCAAGTTTTCCTGTTTGTTATACCTTGTTGGCTTTGTTGTTGCTTTGCAAACACAAGCAAAGAAATAAAACGTGTATCTTTAAATGATTGATCATGATTACTCTGTGTTAACTCCAGAACCAGCTGCTGATCCCAGCCATACTGAGGTGTGACAGTGACAGAGTGAAGGCAGTCCTCACTTCAGCTGAGCAAGAAACAAGTAAGTGTTAGTCACCTTTAGAATAAGAAGATGCTTTATTTTATTTTATAACTTTGGTTTAATAAATGCAATGAAATCAAATTATTATTTCCCAAGAGCATTTTGGATTTGTTAATCTACCCCCCCCTCCCCCTTTGATTGTGGTGATAAGAGGTGGGTTAGGAGAGAAAAGAAATATTAATGAGTCATAAATTTGCTGCACCTAAATCCTACAGTCTTTCTATGTGTCATAATTACTGAAATTGGTGTGTTCAGTATCTTGCCTTAAACCAAGCAATAGCTGTCTCAAACTTGAATTTTTTTCCAATAGATGGCAGCACCAAACAAAAGTTGATCCAGGATCTTCTTGGAGAGCGTTGTGATGGCAACAAGAACATCCTCCACACCACTGTGGCCGCCTGTGCTCCCATGTCAAACAAGGAAGAGAACGGTAAGCTTGTGTTATGTATAAGAAGAGAATGGTGAGCTTAAGTTATACACAAACTGTTGCTGCCTGTGGTCTCACACCAGCAAAGATGAAAATAGTAATCTTAGGAAACCTTCCAAAGAAAAAATTGATGTTGGGGCAAAACTCCCTATGTTAAGTGAGTGGAATCATATTACTGTGTAATTGAACTAGCACTAAAATTTATGATAGCATGTTATTGAATGAAAATATTGAATGCACAGCTATTGGAAATGAAGCTTTAAGTTCTGTTACAGCATAAGCCCATTTGCAGTTGAATTTGAAATTGAGAATTGAAATAGATAATTTGTAAATAAAGTATCAATAAACCCAAGAATGAGATCTAGATAATTTAAAACAATTATCATGTAATTATAGGGTAATATGAAGTTTCCAATATTTATATTGATGTTCTTGTGATATTCCCAGATCCAAATTCTGTCACCACAGCAACTCCCTCAGCTCTGAGCTCTGCCATAGAGGCTATCAATGCTGTGAGCAGCGCTGTGGATGCTCTGACATCTATACACAACCGAGGCAGTGGCAGTGAAACTGCTGACAGGCTGGCCGCTAGAAGGTATGATAGTCTTTCCATGTTTGTACTCTCTGTGTATGATATGTGTGTACTTGTGTGTCTATGTTTTTGTGTATGTGCATGGATGCTCGCAAGGAACAGTTTTGACATCACAAGTGTGGCAGCAAGGATTATGCTGTTCTCACTTCCATATATTTGTGCATGCATGAGTACATGTATGTAAAAATCATGGTCAATAGACTGAGTATAAATACATCTATATGTTCACTTATATCTTACTATACTCACACATTTTTCAGTGTCAGTCTACGTGAGATGATGCGTCGCGCGACATCCGCCGCCAGAGCCTTCAGTAACATGGATCCCAGGGAGCAGAGTGGGGAGAGAGAAGAGCCACCCCCGGGGCTACCTATCCCTACCCTCAGCTGGCCGCCAGACCCCCAGGAGTTCACCCCTCTAAGAGCAGGTAACCTGAACTGTTACCACTAGCTAGATGTGTTTTATATTACTGACTTAAAGAATTGTGATGAGAGCAATGATTGATTTAAATATCCTGAAATAAAGAATATTGATAGGAATGAGAGAAGTGAGAATGAGAGAGAGAGACAGAGACCTAATAATGATGATATTTTAATAATCACCATGTTAAAGCAATAAATTTATTCATATTTTATGGCCACACTATAATTAAAAGGAGATTCTAGGTAGAAGCTGTGATTGCTTGAGCTATTTCAACTACATTAAAAGTCAAGTTGGTGTGAAATATTACTTTGATATGATTGTAACATGACTTGTAAAATATTCTAACTCTGAGATTAAATGCTTGTTCACCAAAATGTCTCTTTTCCACATGTTCTAGAGCCAGAGAAGCCTCATTCCCGCCCTCCCAGTAACCCCCCCACTCCAGGGCCCGGCCCCAGTGGGAGCAGTGGAGGGGGTGTGGGTGGCACCCCTCTCCCAGAGACCCCTCTGGACCCTATGTCTGTGCCCCCAGTCCGCCTGGAGGAGAAAGAGAGGAAGAGCAACTCCCAGCAGATCCTGAAGCTGATTTGTGACAGTCCAGTGCTGCAACCTTATCTCTTTGACCTGCTCTCGGCTAAGTAAGGAGCCCCAAGTCTCCACTCTGCCCTAAGTTCCTCAGTTTTTTTTTTAGAATTATATAAATTATTTTCCAGTAAATATAAAGTGCTCGTGTCTGGGTGGAGTTCAAAGAATTGCACGTGTATTTTGTCTATTTTGTAAAACATTTTGAAAATTTACATATTTATAATATAAAATAAGATAAAATATAACAAGGTGGTCCTATTTCTTCTCACTGTGCCCTCTCCTTTTTCATGAACTGGGGTCTCTGTTTGTGTTTTATATATTATAAGTGTGGTGTTATTGCAGGAACGCAGAGGGCTGCACGCCATTCATGCAGGCTGTGTGTTGTAGAGCATACACCGCAGCACTGGTTATTATGGACGCCTGTAAGAAGGTCAGTACGAAGGATGGCCGTCTGGACAAGGACATGTTGATGCTGACCATCTACCCCCCAGGATCCAGCCTGGACAACTCTCCACTCCATGTGCTCTGCTGTAATGACACCTGTAGTTTTACCTGGACAGGTGCTGAACATATCAACCAGGTGAGTGGCTGTTTATCTCTCACACCTGACAAATGTCCTCATCCATGAAAATGTTTCAAAATTTTGGTCTACTGTCCCATTTTGACCAAGTGGCATTACTGACATATTAATTTCTTTGTTATAATAAATGAAGTAAATTCACCATTCTGTGTACATGGAAGGAAATTAGAATCCAAGGCGCAATGTGCATCTGGTGAGACCAGATTCATATATATATATATATATATATATATATATATATATATATATATATATATCATATCATATCATGTTATATATTAAGCACACATATTATATATTTTGTTTCCTGTCTAGGACATATTTGAGTGTAAGACATGTGGTCTGTTAGGAACCCTATGCTGCTGTACAGAGTGTGCCCAGGTCTGTCACAAAGGACACGACTGCAAGTAAGTCCTACCCTCTCAAATGTTACACTGTCATATAGCAAAGAGTAGCCTCTTAGATACGTGTGAAAATAATAAGTTGAAACTATTTGAATTTTTCAGCAATTTGTCAAGAAATAGATAAATAAATAGCAGGGATAACATTGGCTGTTATTGTTGTAAAAAATGAAATACAGTATTTTAAAGCATTAGTGAGTGATAATAAAGCGATAGTATATAAATTCAAAAGGTCAGTGAATGATATTATAAAAGAAGCAAAAAGATGAATAATGATGCATAAAATTCAGTTAAATAACAAGATGAAATAGCATGCAATTATCTAAAAAACAATTAAATGAATTTTGAGTGAACTGAAATTAAAGGTCAAGCCCTAGATCTTGTGTTAAAATGATTTTCCACATTATCTCCCAGGTTAAAGAGGACCTCCCCCACTGCCTACTGTAATAATGATTTTCCACATTATCTCCCAGGTTAAAGAGGACCTCCCCCACTGCCTACTGTAATAATGATTTTCCACATTATCTCCCAGGTTAAAGAGGACCTCCCCCACTGCCTACTGCGACTGCTGGGAGAAATGTAAGTGTAAAGCTCTCATAGCGGGCAACCAGACGGCACGCTTCGATCTACTCCACCGCCTCCTCTCTGACACAGACCTGGTGAAACATCCCAATAACAGGGGGGAGAACATTCTGCTGTTCCTGGTGCAGAGGGTGGGCAGGCAGCAAGTGGAACAGCGCCAGTATCGGCCCTCCAGGAATAGGACTGCAGCCAGGAAAACACCCATATCTGAAACTGGTGAGTAAGATTATCATGGTTGTTATATGTTGTCAGAAAACACCCATATCTGAAACTGTTGAGCTAAATTGTCATTGCTATAAATTGCCAAATAAGATTTGAAATTTCTTCTGATCACAGTAACTGGATTGAAAAAGATGAATTGATTCCTGCTTTCCTTGTTCTTGTCTGATGCCCTTGATTCCACTTTACTCGATCATTTGATTACAAAAACTAATGCTCTAAATTGATTATATAAACTGAAATATTTGATAGCGTTAGGTTAAGTTCACCACCATATCACAGTAAAAGAATGATAACATGTGTCAATTAATAGTATTTGATAGCCTTAGTCTATTCCTGTGTTCTAGAGCCAGAGATGCCGGACCATGACCTGGAGCCCCCAAGGTTTAGCAGACGAGCTCTGGAGAGGATCCTGAACGACTGGACTGCAGTCAAGGCTATGATGCTGACTGGGGCCAAACAGAAAGCTAGGTATTGTAAATTTAAGTGGTTTACATGTGGCTCACTGGTGTTATGTCAGCTTAGTGATATCTGTCTTTTTTAAGCGATGAGAATTTAAGGAATAAAGTTGACAGCAAACTATTTCCATAACCTATTAGATAAATTAAATTTCTTCTGTTGTGTAAACAGCTAGAAGTAACTAAACCATATCATACTTTCTACTTCCAATTTTATGAAATGTCTGTACATATGCTAGTATTGCTGTCTATGTGTGTACTGTCTGTACATCCACTAGTCTTCCTGTCTATGTGTGTTCCAGCTGTACAGATCTGCTGTTTGAGGATCAGGCTTACCTGAACAGCCAGAGCAGCACCATGAGACTGGACAAGTTCACACACTGTTTGTTGGTCAAGTGCTCGGTAGAGGTGAGTCACTGCACACTGGTCAGTTTATGGACAACGGTCAACTGTCTTGAAGATAGCATTCTTGAAGCCAGCTTAAGATAAACTGTCTGCAAGTTAGGGCTTCTTGAAACCAGTTTGAGATTGAAATTTGAAGTATTGCTATAAAAGGCAAGATAAGCCTCCCAAGTTGACTTGGTTAATTAGCATTGGGCATAATTGTCTTATTATGATCAATATGATCACTACATTTTATGATTGTGTATAAGGAATGTGCTGGGAGAGAATTGTTGTCTGTGTACAATATTGTTTTGTGTGTGTGGGGGGGGGGGAGGGGGTGCATATTAATTAAGAATATGTACAATGTTTCTTTTTCTTTCCATCATCAGATGTTAGACACTCTTCTCACTACCATGATTCGCGAGATGCAGAATGACAGCGTGGAGGGACGGAAGATGGAGGCCAGAGACATTGCGCGGAGGTTCATACGCTCGGTGGCACGTGTTTATGTGGTGCTGAACGTAGAAATGATACCTCAGACCAATAGGAGGAGATGGTAAGGAAATCTTTCCCAGAGACACCAGTTCAAAAGATAAAGACTTATCCACTGATGAGACTTTTCTGACTTTTCTCAGAATTCTGACTTTTTCAGGGTCATTTGGGTCAATCTTTGTGAATCTTGTACCCTGGACCCCTGGCCAATTTTTCTGCTTTTTCAGTGAGGACTGGTTTCATCCCTGCTTATTCAAGATTTTTTAAAAAAGACAGAAAATATCTAATTCCATTTAATCATTGTCGCAGTTCTAAACTTATTCAAAAAAAGTTATTTAAGACAATCCCCATCCTATTTTAATGCTCGTTGGATTCTCACTGTATACCTTCACTTTGGTGTTTCAGTATTGTGGTATCCCAGCCCATGGTGAAGTGTAAACGTTCCTTCCAAGCTCTGATCACTATAGCCATAGAAGAGCTGTGTGAGACAGCGGACTCCTTGCTAGCACCTGTAAGAATGGGGGTGGCCAGACCCACAGCGCCATTTAATATGGTGGCATCCAATATAGATGCTATACAGGTACTGGATGTTGTCCTTTCACACTGGGGCAGTTTAATTTTTGACTTCTTCACAAGATTTTATGCCCCATTAGGGATACTGTTTTCCTGAAAAGTTTTTATGCACCTTGGGTTTATCTTTGATAGTTCTAGCCAGTAAATCTTTTTCAAAGTAAAATGTATTTGAAACACCAGGTTGGATTATTTTAAAATTTTCCCAAAATTTTATTCTCACATATTTTATCTAGAATGTCTCCAAACATTGATGTCAAAGAAAGTTAGTTTTATAGTTGTACAAATAGCTTGTACATCTTTTGTTAAAGCAATTTAATGAAGCCAAGTGATTCTTCACATAAAAACTAAATTCATAACCCTATGAGCACAATACCTAATAGAACTTTCTCCCTCCCCCAGGGCAGTGAAGAGATCTTCTCCGTTGACCCTCTGCCTCCCAGACCCTCCACAGATCCCTTCATGCAGTCTCCAGCCTACATCCCCAGCCCACAGAGGGTTAACGAGGCTGTCCAGGCCCTTGACGTGGACGAGGATGATGTGGCTGATGTAGAAGAGGTAGTAGTGATATAATGTTTGTTTGTTTGATATTTGTTTGTTCATTACAGAACAACTTCAAGATGAAAATTTTTTTAATCAAAATGTCACCTTTTTTCTTTATGGTAAAATGTTGTATTCAGGTAAATGTGGATTACTATTTAAAAAATGCTTTAACAAATTAGCAATGTAAAAGACACCTAGGCTACTGTCGCCATGATCACAGTTGCCATTAGTTACAGTTGTTATAGTCACAGTTGCTTGGTTACTTTCAGGTGGACATTGTCCTTGGAGATCAGGATGAGGACCAGCACTCTGACCAGCATTCAGACCAGGAAGATGACGTTGACGTCCCCCTGGACAGTCACTCAGGGCCGGGAGGTGGACAGGCCAGAGAGCAGGCTGATGGTCAGTTATAATAATATAATTATAGTTCTGATAAGTTTATTAATACAAAGCCACCAAGATGAGTTCCAAAATAAAACACAGACCACTAAAAGTTTGATAAGGAAAAAGGGATAAAGGTGTCAGTTAGTAGATATTTACCTAGGAGGTTAGGTTTTCACCTCTGATAGTCTTCTGCACAAGCCTGACACAAAAACATTTTTGTGGATTTTGATGAAATTTTCAGGATTGGTCACAAATGGGCAATCTTCAAAGTGATTAGATTTTGATGGTGATCCATTTATCAATTATGTTCACTTGTGTTCTGTGGCATTTGAAACCTTCATACTTTATCTTTATCTTTCTGTTTAGTTGTGTTCTGTGTCATATAAAACCTTCATACTGTTATCTTTATCTTTCTGTTTAGTTGTGTTCTGTGTCATATAAAACCTTCATACTGTTATCTTTATCTTTCTGTTTAGTTGTGTTCTGTGTCATATAAAACCTTCATGCTTTATCTTTATCTCTCTGTTCACTTGTGTTCTATCACTTCTATGTGATATAAAACCTTTATACTGTTATCTTTATCTTTCTCTTCAGTTGCTGGTGAAAGCGACATGGACCTGGACCTTCTGGCGGAGTCCGAGAGCGACAGCGAGAGTAGTCATAGCAACCAGGACAACACCAGTGTACAGAGAAGTGCTGTTACTGCAGCAACAGCTGGCTCTGACGCGGGTAATGCACTCTGACCACTCTATGTGTGTTTTTTAGGCCCGGTGTCCCAGTGGGTGTTGGTCTTAGTAGGAAATTTAAGTCTGCTTTGACAGAAGTATGTAGAAGATCATATAATATGAAAGCATTGGGCCTATTTCATAGTTTTAGTTTCTTTACAAATTCATTGTACATTTCAGGTGTTGGTAGTTTGGCCTACTTTTCAGAAGAAGAAGGAGAATCATCCAATCAGGATGATGATGATGAAAGTGAGGCTGCGGAGAGTGAGGAACATGACCAGGATGACACGGGATTTATTGATGAGCAACTGGAAAGGCGTAGCACCACAGGTACGTTCACTCACTGCCTGTAAGGTTTCAGCTTTTAAACAGTAGCAGTTTTCTCGACAGTAGCCTGAATTTCAGGCCAAAACTATCGTATTCAAATGTCTTTTCATGCTGGCTTGTTACATTTGAACTAAAACATCATTTGACTTCGGTGAATTATGTCAATTGCAAATATTAAGTGCAACACAGGTTTTTTAACAGGTCTCATCATAGTCATAGACCCTAACATGAAATGTCAAAATTCAACTGACTGGATGCCTAGACAAACTGATGGTCTGATGTCCTTTAAACATACACATAGGGATTTTCTGAAAATAAAGAAGTTGGCTTGTAATGGAAGTAAAGCAATGGGCAAATGGCAGTACCAGTACCAATGAATAAGATTTCTAAGATGGCATGACCCATTCCAGTCATCATGATGTGTACTGTTGTGGTCTGTTTCAGGTACAGGTGGTCAAAGGATCTTTTTGACACCTCAGACCATGCAGTGGGCAGTGCGGGAGAGACAGCCCGCAGCCACGCCCACCTTCACCAACCCTGTTACCATGGGAACTGCCGGCGGAGCAACCACAGGTTGTTGTTCTTCTCCTTATTATTAATGTTATCATTATCATCATAAGTTGGCATAAAAGGTAGACACCTATGTCATTCAACTTGCAAATCATTTAAGAAATGATGTTTTGTACCTGCAATATGCTATGGAACAAATATAGAATAGTTGATAAAACAGAATAATTATCAATTTTTTTTATGAAATTTACTCCCCACTGCTGCCCTGCTTGAGCAGTAGGGATTAATGTCTTCCAGATTTTTCCATAAATCTGGATATTCGGTTCTTGTACTTATGCTCCCTGAACCCAAAATAGTGTCTTCAGCACTTCAGGTCAGGATATATAAAATGTCCACTTATTTCTCTGCCCCAGGGTCCAGCGGGCTGATCTACATAGACCCGTCTACTCTACGTCACAACAACCGTAGAATCACAACCACCAATCAGACAACCACAAAAGAGTCTGACATCACCGTGTCCACTACGGCCAGTCAGCTGGCCCGCGCCTTTGGGATCGTGATTCGCCAGATTTCAGACCTCCTTACCATCCTCCAGGACTACCATGCCCTGGCCCCTAACCTGCCCCGCACCCTGGATATACAATACCAAGAGATGATGGAGCTACAGGTGGGCCACTGGTATACATAGTCAGGGACCTCGGGGAGAATTAGTTTGATTTGTGTGGAATTTTCTATTAATCGCACATATCTGACATTTGAAGTAGCATTTACGTAAAATAACCTTTTTTTGTACAGACGTAATTAAATAAGTTAAATTGAAAATGGTTGATCTAAAAGATCATATATGTTGAAGAAAACAGAATGTGTAAGAGAGTTTGACATATATACTTCTTTCTGTGTCAATGTGTGTGTTTAAACTCCTTGAAACACTCTATTTATATATCATTTTGTCTGTATCCAGATGCATGTAGAACATCGCCTCAAGGAGACCTGGGATTGGCTCATCACCATCATGGACTCCACGGAGGCACAGCTTCGCTACGGGTCCATCGTCAGCGGCAACACGGACCCTGCTCATGCCGCACACCCAATGCACGGCACGTTTCTGCGCACACAGCGGGAACGCAAGGCAGAACAGCCAGCACGTATGTCAAATTTGTACATTTCCTGCTTGATTGAGTTGATGTGTAAGTCAGTGTAAATTGAAATTGTAGCAGATTTGGTTTGATTTTGTCTACTTGGTGTCAGTACGGGAGGTCAGTAAGGAGAAACGGAGAATTTTACCCTTGCATAATGATATTAGAATAAGGTAATTTAACTGGAAATATTTGAATGTTAAAAAAAAAAGAAAAAAAATTAGCACTGTGGCTGACTTTAATTGAATATTGCTAATAATCTTATAATAATTGTCACCACAGGCACAGATGGCAACTCCGCCAGGCGAGATTTTCTGAACTATGCTCTCTCCCTGATGCGCTCACACAATGATGAGCAGTCAGACGCCATGCCAATCATTGACATATCAGCACTGAAACATGTTGCATTTGTGCTAGACTCTCTTGTGTATTACATGCGGAGTGGCGCTGATACTGAGACGGATGTGATTAAAGATGGCGCCTCCATCTACTCTTGGCAAGAGCATGACGAGAATGATAACGATGAGCATGAGGATGATCCAATCAGTAATACAATCTCCATGGAGACAGACAGCGTGGAGGGAGACGGAGAAGGTGCTAGCAAAGTGGGGAGGAAACACCCGTTTTTCCAGAGATCAGATTCGACCACGTTTCTAGGCTGTCCTGCTCCAGACCCCTTCAGCACCCCTCTCGTGGAGGCCCTGCCGATGGCAGATATTCCGCACCTGCTGCAGCCTAACTCACGCCGCGAGGAGCTGTTTGGTAACCCTAGGCAACCCTTCTCAACCAATCAGATGGGGTATGGTGGAAATGGAGATGCAGCCATGCAGAGTCCCTTTGACAGGTGAGTAATTGTAGGGAATCCTGATTTCTAAAGTAACAACTTACGACTACTATTGCTTTTACTAATAATTTATCTTTGGTCAACGTAGGCTGGAATTTTTGTCTACAGATGAAAACCAAATTTCTGGTGAAAGTGCTTTTATCAGGCATGAGATATTTCTGCAGAGTCACTGTCTTTTCATTCACAGATGATGGATCCAGTGATTTAACCAGATTTATTACTGCTGTGATATGAAATGTACAAAGATTTTTGTTTCAAAGCCAGGCTGTCTGTTATGATAAAGAGACCTTTGTTCTAACAGCCCCCACACGTTGTCGTGTTCCAGACTTCCCACCCACCTGTCTCTGTCAACACGCTGTGCTGCTGACACCAAGTCCTCCCAGCTGGTGGCGCCATCACACACCAATATGGCGTCTGAAGTACCGCCATGTTCTGCAGGACCCAGTACAGCCAGTACAGAGTCCATGGCAGGGGGCGTGGCAGGAGGGGCCTCATCCAGCACCAGTGTGATCGTACGGCCCAGCTTGGCACCAGTGGCGCCCTCACAGCATGGTGGTTCTACCAGCAGTGGGGTGGCACCTTCCATGTCACTGGGAGCTCTCCTGCATGACATTCAGTCTGTCCCCCAGGACTTGTCTAAGAAAGGTGGCGCCACTGAGAGGGGATCAATTCCACCCCTCCTCTCCCAATCTAGCCCCGTCTCTCAACCGAGTGTCATCGTCCACGCTGGCTCCAGTCAGACCTCTCTGCTGCCCCCTGGTGGAGGAGGTGGTGCTGGTAGCATTGGGAGGATGACAGGAGAGGTCAGCGCTAGTCAAAGCTTTAGCACCTCAAGCCTCAGTGGCGGAACCAGTGCCAGCCAGTCTGCCACCTCGAGTTCAGGAGAACCAGGTTCTTCTGTCAGCGAGAGGTAAGATACATCTTTGTTGTGATGGCATTAAACATAAGTTTGAGTCCAACTCTTCAGCTGGATGTTGATATTGGGCCATTCTACAAAAATTGTCCCTTGTGTCATTTACATTACCTGAAATATTTGTATAATGCTGACTTGTGCCATTACTTCCTCTGCAATATATTCTATATAAAAAGAAATCCNAAAAAAAATTAGCACTGTGGCTAATTGAATATTGCTAATAATCTTATAATAATTGTCACCACAGGCACAGATGGCAACTCCGCCAGGCGAGATTTTCTGAACTATGCTCTCTCCCTGATGCGCTCACACAATGATGAGCAGTCAGACGCCATGCCAATCATTGACATATCAGCACTGAAACATGTTGCATTTGTGCTAGACTCTCTTGTGTATTACATGCGGAGTGGCGCTGATACTGAGACGGATGTGATTAAAGATGGCGCCTCCATCTACTCTTGGCAAGAGCATGACGAGAATGATAACGATGAGCATGAGGATGATCCAATCAGTAATACAATCTCCATGGAGACAGACAGCGTGGAGGGAGACGGAGAAGGTGCTAGCAAAGTGGGGAGGAAACACCCGTTTTTCCAGAGATCAGATTCGACCACGTTTCTAGGCTGTCCTGCTCCAGACCCCTTCAGCACCCCTCTCGTGGAGGCCCTGCCGATGGCAGATATTCCGCACCTGCTGCAGCCTAACTCACGCCGCGAGGAGCTGTTTGGTAACCCTAGGCAACCCTTCTCAACCAATCAGATGGGGTATGGTGGAAATGGAGATGCAGCCATGCAGAGTCCCTTTGACAGGTGAGTAATTGTAGGGAATCCTGATTTCTAAAGTAACAACTTACGACTACTATTGCTTTTACTAATAATTTATCTTTGGTCAACGTAGGCTGGAATTTTTGTCTACAGATGAAAACCAAATTTCTGGTGAAAGTGCTTTTATCAGGCATGAGATATTTCTGCAGAGTCACTGTCTTTTCATTCACAGATGATGGATCCAGTGATTTAACCAGATTTATTACTGCTGTGATATGAAATGTACAAAGATTTTTGTTTCAAAGCCAGGCTGTCTGTTATGATAAAGAGACCTTTGTTCTAACAGCCCCCACACGTTGTCGTGTTCCAGACTTCCCACCCACCTGTCTCTGTCAACACGCTGTGCTGCTGACACCAAGTCCTCCCAGCTGGTGGCGCCATCACACACCAATATGGCTTCTGAAGTACCGCCATGTTCTGCAGGACCCAGTACAGCCAGTACAGAGTCCATGGCAGGGGGCGTGGCAGGAGGGGCCTCATCCAGCACCAGTGTGATCGTACGGCCCAGCTTGGCACCAGTGGCGCCCTCACAGCATGGTGGTTCTACCAGCAGTGGGGTGGCACCTTCCATGTCACTGGGAGCTCTCCTGCATGACATTCAGTCTGTCCCCCAGGACTTGTCTAAGAAAGGTGGCGCCACTGAGAGGGGATCAATTCCACCCCTCCTCTCCCAATCTAGCCCCGTCTCTCAACCGAGTGTCATCGTCCACGCTGGCTCCAGTCAGACCTCTCTGCTGCCCCCTGGTGGAGGAGGTGGTGCTGGTAGCATTGGGAGGATGACAGGAGAGGTCAGCGCTAGTCAAAGCTTTAGCACCTCAAGCCTCAGTGGCGGAACCAGTGCCAGCCAGTCTGCCACCTCGAGTTCAGGAGAACCAGGTTCTTCTGTCAGCGAGAGGTAAGATACATCTTTGTTGTGATGGCATTAAACATAAGTTTGAGTCCAACTCTTCAGCTGGATGTTGATATTGGGCCATTCTACAAAAATTGTCCCTTGTGTCATTTACATTACCTGAAATATTTGTATAATGCTGACTTGTGCCATTACTTCCTCTGCAATATATTCTATATAAAAAGAAATCCGCAGTAATTAAAAAGTGATAAGCAAATATTACACAAAATGAGTTGCTAAATGGACATGGAATGACCCTTTTGTTGTTGTTATTATTATTATTATTATTATTATTATTATTATTATTATTATTATTATTATTATTGTTGTCGTTTCAGCTCTGTTCCCTTGCCATCCAGCTCTCTGCAGTCAGACACCACAGTTGATCTAGTGGGTGCTAATGAAAACGTGTCCAACACTGTTGTTGTAGAGACTTCCAGTGTACAGCCTAATATAAGCACTGCCAGGTAGAATTTACATTTACTTACAGTAAACATTCTCTCATACAATTTTGGTAAGATGGTTTTACTTCCATTTGATGCACAGTTTAATAGAGCTAACACTTTAAGACAACCATGCAGGCAAGAAGTGACTGTGAATACAAAAGATCTGATTACCATTTTAAAAGAATTTTTATTATTTATTATTATTATTATTATTTTACATTTTGCATCAAGTTTTCGGTCTAGTTTTGTGATATGTAATGGTTGAGATATAATTGTGAATATTTGACATTAACTGTTGCACGATTTCAGAACCCAGAACACGTTAGGCCAGATGGTGTCACATGACATCCTGCTGGGAAGATGGCGGCTCACCCTGGACCTGTTTGGGCGCGTGTTCTGCGATGACGTGGGCGCAGAGCCAGGGTCAGTGATCAGTGAACTTGGTGGATTCCCAGTAAAGGAGAGCAGGTTTAGGAGAGATATGGAGAAATTGAGGAATTCCCAGCAGAGGGATTTATCTCTAGAGGTCAGTGAAAAGTTTTCTGTTTGTTTATTGTTTTTATATGTATATATCATTTAGTGTTCTTTTTTTTATTTTCTTTTATTCCTCTTTTAACTAAGGAACCATGAGTTTTCAATGCAACAGTAATTTCTCTCTACAAGTATGAAAATTATCTTATTGATCTAAATACAAGCTGTGTGACTATCAAGGTTACCGACCAAGTGTTCACCGTCTGTGATATTCTTGATTGTAATTATCTCCGATATGCAGGAATAATTACACTGGTGCATACAACTTGTCTTGTAAGTGGTTTTTACTTAAAATAAATTATGCTATTGTAATACATAAAGAGAGATGTTTTTTTTGTGTCAGGTTGAGCGAGATCGTAACAGCCTGATACAGCAGACAGTGAAGCAGCTAAACACTCACTACAACAGGAAGACAGGGACGGAGCAGCCGCTGGCCGTACATAGAATTAAAGTGGCATTTAAAGATGAGCCGGGAGAGGGCTCTGGGGTCGCCAGGAGTTTTTACACGGCTTTCGCACAGGCGGTGACATCTAGTGAGAAATTGCCGAGTCTGGAGGGGTGTCTTGTTGGAACAAAGGGCATGCAGTATAGTAAGTTTGTGCTTTGTTTTAGTTATTGTAACCAGGCAAATGGTTTAATCTGCCTCCTGATAGTTAAATATTGTTCAAGTTTTATGGGCTACTTCAAATTGGCAGGAAGGTCAGTAGCATCCACAACTAATCAACTTATTTCTCTTAGATCTGATGCAGAGGCTTCGATCAAGAGAACGAGAAAGAGAACGTGAGAGAGAACGTCTACGGAACCTCAGTCGCCAGCGCAGCCGGGAAGCCAGACGAGCACTGAATTATGATGCACCTCCATTCTACCTGCCAACAGATGGCGGCACCCAAGATAGCACCACCGACACTGACCACTTCTCTGCTCACAGGAGACAACTGGGAGAGAGACTGTTCCCTAAAGTAGCCAATCTACAACCTGTAAGTAGAGAGTTAGTGACAGGGATATTATAATACAATATAATATATACAACTGAGAGAGAGACTGTTCCCTAAAGTAGCCAATCTACAACCTGTAAGTAGAGAGTTTGTGACAGGGGTATTATAATATAATATAATATTATACAACTGAGAGAGAGACTGTTTCCTAAAGTAGCCAATCTACAACCTGTAAGTAGACAGTTAGTGACAGGGATATTATAATACAGTATAATATATACAACTGGGAGAGAGACTTTCCTAAATTAGCCAATCTACAGCCTGTAAGTAGAGATGTAGTGACAGGGGTATTATAATACAATATAATATATACAACTGGAAGAGAGACTTTCCTAAATTAGCCAATCTACAGCCTGTAAGTAGAGATGTAGTGACAGGGGTATTATAATACAATATAATATATACAACTGGGAGAGAGAAAATTAACATACAAAAACCAACTTGAGTAGACAAATCTACACCGGTCTATGAAACTTGGGAAGTATATTGCATACGAAATTTAATATCTTTATTCCTTTTGCTGGATATATAACGCAAAGCAAAATTATAAACAAGATGTTTCTTTGTTCTGTTAATAAAGTCAAATGTTTCTTTGTTCTAGTCTTTGGCCCCCAAGATCACAGGCATGCTGCTGGAACTGTCCCCGGCCCAGCTCCTGATGTTACTGGCCTCTGAGGAGAGCCTAAGACAGAGAGTGGACGAGGCAGTGGACATTNCACAGTAATTAAAAAGTGATAAGCAAATATTACACAAAATGAGTTGCTAAATGGACATGGAATGACCCTTTTGTTGTTATTATTATTATTATTATTATTATTATTATTGTTGTTGTTTCAGCTCTGTTCCCTTGCCATCCAGCTCTCTGCAGTCAGACACCACAGTGGATCTAGTGGGTGCTAATGAAAACGTGTCCAACACTGTTGTTGTAGAGACTTCCAGTGTACAGCCTAATATAAACACTGCCAGGTAGAATTTACATTTACTTACAGTAAACATTCTCTCATACAATTTTGGTAAGATGGTTTTACTTCCATTTGATGCACAGTTTAATAGAGCTAACACTTTAAGACAACCATGCAGGCAAGAAGTGACTGTGAATACAAAAGATCTGATTACCATTTTAAAAGAATTTTTATTATTTATTATTATTATTATTTTACATTTTGCATCAAGTTTTCGGTCTAGTTTTGTGATATGTAATGGTTGAGATATAATTGTGAATATTTGACATCAACTGTTGCACGATTTCAGAACCCAGAACACGTTAGGCCAGATGGTGTCACATGACATCCTGCTGGGAAGATGGCGGCTCACTCTGGACCTGTTTGGACGCGTGTTCTGCGATGACGTGGGCGCAGAGCCAGGGTCAGTGATCAGTGAACTTGGTGGGTTCCCAGTAAAGGAGAGCAGGTTTAGGAGAGATATGGAGAAATTGAGGAATTCCCAGCAGAGGGATTTATCTCTAGAGGTCAGTGAAAACTTTTCTGTTTGTTTATTGTTTTTATATGTATATATCATTTAGTGTTTTTTTTTTATTATTTTCTTTTATTCCTCTTTGAACTGAGGAACCATGAGTTTTCAGTGCAATAGTAGTTTCTCTCTATGAAAGTATGAAAATAATCTTATTGATCTAAATACAAGCTATGTGACTATCAAGGTTACCGACCAAGTGTTCACCGTCTGTGATATACTTGATTGTAATTATCTCCAATATGCAGGAATAATTGCACTGGTGCATACAACTTGTCTTGTAACTGGTTTTTACTTAAAATAAATTATGCTATTGTAATATATAAAGAGAGATGTTTTTATTGTGGCAGGTTGAGCGAGATCGTAACAGCCTGATACAGCAGACAGTGAAGCAGCTGAACACTCACTACAACAGGAAGACGGGGACGGAGCAGCCGCTGGCCGTACATAGAATTAAAGTGGCATTTAAAGACGAGCCAGGAGAGGGCTCTGGGGTTGCCAGGAGTTTTTACACGGCTTTCGCACAGGCGGTGACATCTAGTGAGAAATTGCCGAGTCTGGAGGGGTGTCTTGTTGGAACAAAGGGCATGCAGTATAGTAAGTTTGTGCTTTGTTTTAGTTATTGTAACCAGGCAAATGGTTTAATCTGCCTCCTGATAGTGATAGTTAAATATTGTCCAAGTTATATCGGCCACACAGTAGCATGACTATACACAACTAATCAACTTATTTCCATTAGATCTGATGCAGAGGCTACGATCAAGAGAACGAGAAAGAGAACGGGAGAGAGAGCGTCTACGGAACCTTAGTCGCCAGCGCAGCCGGGAAGCCAGACGAGCGCTCAACTATGATGCACCTCCATTCTACCTGCCAACAGATGGCGGCACCCAAGATAGCACCACTGACACTGACCACTTCTCTGCTCACAGGAGACAACTGGGAGAGAGGCTGTTCCCTAAAGTAGCCAATCTACAACCTGTAAGTAGAAAGACAATTACAGGGATATTATAATACAATATAATATATATAACTGGGAGAGAGGCTGTTCCCTAAAGTAGCCAATCTACAACCTGTAAGTAGAGATTTAGTGACAGGGATATTATAATACAATATAATATATATAACTGGGAGAGAGACTGTTCCCTAAATTAGCCAATCTACAACCTGTAAGTAGAAAGACAATTACAGGGATATTATAATACAATATAATATATACAACTGGGAGAGAGACTGTTCCCTAAAGTAGCCAATCTACAACCTGTAAGTAGAGAGTTAGTGACAGGGATATTATAATACAATATAATATATACAACTGGGAGAGAGGCTTTTCCCTAAAGTGGCCAATCTACAACCTGTAGGTAGAGAGTTAGTGACAGGGATATTATAATACAATATAATATATACAACTGGGAGAGAGAAAATTAACATACAAAAACCAACTTGAGTAGACAAATCTGCACCAGTCTATGAAACTTGGGAAGTGTATTGCATATGAAATTTAATATCTTTATTCTTTTTGCTGGATATATAACGCAAAGCAAAATTATAAACAAGATGTTTCTTTGTTCTTTTAATAAAGTCAAACTTTTTCTTTGTTCTAGTCTTTGGCCCCCAAGATCACAGGCATGCTGCTGGAACTGTCCCCGGCCCAGCTCCTGATGTTACTGGCCTCTGAGGAGAGCCTAAGACAGAGAGTGGACGAGGCAGTGGACATAATTATGACCCATGGGAGGTAAGGAGAGAGAGAGAGAGAGTGAGAAAGAGAGAGAGAGAGAGAGAGAGATGAAGTCCAAGACTGGCTTAAGCATTGGACAAGGAGGTGGAGGGGGGCTAAAGCATGGTTTGGACAATTATTATGAAGGGGGTTGGGGTTGAGGGGAGTTTTGACAGAGACTTTGACCAAGGACATGATAATAAAGTATGGCTGGGAGAGTAACATGTAATGATATATCTTGAACAAATATTATAAATATAATTTTATTACAATAGATATAAACTAATTTTGTGAGCCATTACTTAAATCTCAATTCACACTGTGGGGAGATATCTCGTCTTTATTAGGGTATTTGTGTGGAAAACATGTACAGGTTCCCTTTAAATATTTAAAAAATAATGCTACCCCTTAGCTGTCTCTGGGCATGCTGTTGTGTATATCGGGCTGGTGGACAGTATTTAGTATATATACGTATCTGTCCCCAGGGAAATGAATGCTGATGCTCTGCTGGATCTGGACATCTTCAACCTGTCTGCTGACAAGACCAAGAAATCTGGTTCATCAGCCGGGTCCAGGGCCAGTGACTTGGAGGAGGAAGAGGACGACAGTGCCGCCCTTTTTTGGCAGCCAGGGAAACGAGGGTTTTATTCCCCAAGACCTGGGAAGAATTCACTAGAAAGATTGAACTTGTTTAGAAATGTTGGGAGGTATGTATGTGTTTTTGTACTAGATTAAATATTAATGATAACAACTTTATAGTAGTAATTCATCATTGAAAAATTCACCAAAAAAGTTGAATTTTAAATTTTTTTGCTTTTTCAAACACCTTTGGAGCTGATATGTGTTTTAAGAAAAAAAAAAAGAAAAAAAAACTAGTAAGATGAAGCGGTTTTTACCTAAAAAAAAATTTTACCTTCGAGGTTTTTTCATAATGGCAACTTGATTATGAGTAGTTTTTAGTAACAGTGATCCATTTTTATTATCATACTATTTTTGGACTGTAATTTACTCTTGTGAATTCTTCATTATTTTATTTCCTAAAAGTTAACCCTATTTCATTTTTTCAATCACAGAATAATAGGACTGTGTCTGCTACAAAACGACATGTGTCCTCTCTTCCTGAATCGCCATGTGATCAAGTACATTCTGGGCCGCAGGATAGGCTGGCACGACCTCGCCTTCTTTGACCCCGTAATGTACGAGAGCCTGAGACAACTGGTGCTAGACTCTGAGACCAAAGATGCCTCGCTGATGTTTGCTGCTCTGGATCTGACGTTTAGTGTTGAACTCTCCCTTGAAGAGGTATGCTGGGGAATTTGATTGTTTATGTTTGTCCTTTGATTTCTCACTCTGAACAGATGCAGTATTGAGCAATTCCTGGAAAATGTTTCTTGGTAAATTATTGGAGTTTTTTGTGCTTTTGCTCTAGAAATTTTGAGTAAAAATATGCTGCCTTAAGCAACTCTTAAGATGTTTTATTATAACGTCTATGTGCATGTTTCAGGGTGGTGAGACAGTAGAACTGCTACCAGGTGGCGCTGAGATTGAAGTGAATGCCCAGAACGTCCATGACTACGTGAGGCGGTATGCGGAATACAGGATGGTGCGGGTGGCCGAGAAGGCCATGGAGGTAAGCTTTGACTACCTTGATAAACTGGAACTGGTTTTACTAACAGTATAAAGAACCAAAATTGGTCATTACTTTAAAAGGTCCACTCAACCTACAATGAATTAGTAGAAAGTTGATCCCAAGTCCTAAAATTTTCATGTTTTTTGAGTTGTTTACTGAACTGAATTTTCTCTCTCTCTCTCTCTCTCTCTCTCTCTCTCTCTCTCTCTCTCTCTCTCCACTTTAAGTCAAAGACAAGTGTGTTTCATGTCTTCTGACACCTGTTCTGTTGCAGAGCATGAGGCAGGGAGTATTTGATGTCATTCCTAAGAACGGGCTGGACACGCTGACCGCGGAGGATTTTAGACTGCTGCTCAACGGAGTTGGAGACATCGATGTCCAGAGCCTGATCAGCTACACCTCATTTAATGACGAGAGCGGTCAGTTCAGAATTTAATGATTTTGTTCTAATGAGCTTGATATACATACACAAAGGGTGGCAGTGTATTATTTGACATATATTCCAAGAGCAGACATCAATTTCAAAAAAAAAAAAAAAAAAAAAAAACTCTATAACCAAATATTTTGTTATAGTTGGATAACATCTCTATGTATAATGATGAAGTATGTTATATCTTTAGATGTGTACAATAATAAAATATGTTGTATCTCCAGGTGAGGGCGGAGAGAAGGTCCAGCGGTTCAAGAGATGGTTCTGGTCAGTGGTGGAGAAGATGACCAACCACGAGAGGCAGGACTTGGTCAGTGATTGGTGGCCCTTTTGTTACAATAACTAGAGACATATTTATAATAGTATGGTTTACTGATTTTGAAATAACCAGACACAACCCAGTCTCTTTGTTTTTAAGGAGGGTGGAGGATTTAAGTGAGGCAATCAGACATTCTCTTGTCAAACTTTCATTCCTATTTTAAAGGAATTATTCCACTATTCACTTTCAATTTGATGTATTTCTTCATTTTGTCATGTATAATGCCCAGGTGTTTTCCTGGCCAGCCTTGATACAGATCTGATTCTAACTTCTGTGAGTTGTTTATAAACTTGAGCTCTAATTCAGAAAATATCAGATTTCATCAGTTCAGGATGTGTCTTCAACCTCACTATTTTTACCATTTTAATCACACATCCTCAGGTCTATTTCTGGACGTCCAGTCCCGCTCTCCCGGCCAGTGAGGAAGGATTCCAACCCATGCCAACCATCACTGTGCGCCCGGCAGACGACAACCATCTCCCCACAGCCAACACGTGTATTAGTCGACTGTATATTCCCCTGTACTCAAGCAAGGTCATATTAAGGAGTAAACTACTCATGGCCATCAAAACAAAAGCTTTTGGCTTTGTCTAACACTGGAAGGATAGGTATTAGAAGGACATTAGACACTACTAAAGCCAAACACAGTCCTGGTAAAATTTGACAGGTAAAAACAGTCAGCCGACAACTTCAGGGTTTGTCTAACACTGGAGGTTACTAGACACGACTTAAGTCAAATGGATTCCTAATTTGACATTAAAAAACGGTTTACTTGCTACTGTGGTTTTGTCTAAGACTAGAAGGTGTTAGGTATGGATATTAGACACTTCTACAGCCGTCAGCGAGTTCTGATGAAATTACACAGGAAAAAAACATTAAAACCAAAGTGTTTGTGTATGTCTAATTGAAGAATGTCTCAGTTGGGGTTGCACAGCTGAGCAACATGTTAGAATGCTTTTGTGGCTGGAAAAGTCTGTTTTTGTGTTGTGTGCTGGGACGCTGTGGTAAAACTATTCTGAGGAGTAAATTGGCAACTGTCACGGCTTGTGCTGTGGAGCTTCAGTGTGAGGAAAAAAGAAACTATTAGGGAAACAAAGCTTTCCATTCCCAAGAGATGTTACTCTAGGTCATGAAAATGAAGACTTTTGTTTGGAAGAGAGATTGATTTCCACATGCGATCATTACATTATTAAGTGTAACAGAAGCTTGCTGTAAATGATTCCAAAGGGAAATTACTAGAACTTGTCCGGAAAGAGTTGATGGATAAAGTATGGTGATTAGAAAAGCTTTGATTGCTGCTGTTGAACTATGGAATCACTGGGGTGAACATCAGGTATTGGAAATAACAACATAATATACTACAGCTGTAGCTCCAGGTTGAACCGGGGTGAAAGCTCAGAAAAAAAAAAAAAACACTGATGAAAGCTGTGCACAGAATAAAATGATCATTCAGCAGAAATTACTTCTTAGTGATCTGAAAGAAAGGAAGTGCATTTAGTTTGTAAGAAGTGGCTCAGGAGTCTGAATGTAAGCAGGTGTGCCAGGTGCAAACAACAGATTATTTTAAGTGTTAAATGCTGTAGAATATGTTCATTAATTGACCTCCCGTGGCAAAAGGAGGTCAAAGGTCATGAGGTCAAAGGTCATGATGAGACCAAAGTTCAATATGTATAAGGGACCTATAGATACAAAGCAATTTTCACCAGTTCAAAGTAAGTGTTGATATCATTGTGGTGAGCATACTTGTACATATTGAAGAGCAGACATATAGATGGACCAAAGGTCTGGTTAGCAGTGAACTTTTATTTTCATTATTATTATTATTATTATTCAATTTTTTTCATCATTATTTTAATAATTTTGTTAATATTATAATAATAATAATTATTTTTTTAATTTCTACCACTTCATTATTATTATTTATTGGAAAGAAGTGGTCAAGATAAAAAGTTATAAAGTTAGAGCAGTAGATGGATCTTAGTATGAGCCAGTAGTGTAGTACAAATTATTGTTCACATAATTGTAGAAATTCCCTGCAGGGCAGTTATAGACCTGAAACAGCAGATTTAATAACCCATCTTTTTCTACCCCCAGAAGGTTCAGACCTTGTTGAATGTTTTAGAAGTAGAGATTATTTTACATTTGATAAGATGAAGAGAGAAATTACCATGTGTGTGTAAAGAAGTAGTATTACAGTCATGTATCCTTGGGACTGTCACTTGAGGACCAGGGCCCTGCTTTACCAAAGAAATTCTGACTTAAAATTTAGCCCACTTTGACCTAAAATGACTCAGTAGTAGTACAACTGAGTTTTAAATTGCGCCTGTTGTCTGTCAATAAAGGCCAAAGGTCATGAGGTCAAGGGTCATGATGAGACCAAAGGGCACTATGTATAAGGTACCTACAGGTATAAAACAATATTAATCCCGTCATCTGACAATAAAGACATGACTAATAATGCAGACCAGCAGTTACTTTGTTTTAGATGACATGTGCACAATTCTCCTGGATTGAAATACACCAAAATGTGGGTGTAAAAGTTGGGATCAAATTTTAAGATGAGGTTATTTTATGAAACTGCCCCCACCCACTCCGGGTTTTCAGGAATACGGGGGTACTGCGCGTGTGCAGGTTCAGGTTATAAGGAGTAGGGGCGGTGGCAGAATTTATTATTTTTTTGTTTAATCAACTTTAAAATAAGTGAGTCTCTGTCAGATTACGTGAGCCACACACACCCTGTCCTTTATTCAACTAGGCATTGAAATCCAGAAACTATATTTACTTTGAAGCTTCCTCTTTATAAATTGATGTAAATGTAAACTTTTTGCGAGATTGAGGATAATGCTGTAAGATTATGTTTTGTATAGAAATAAAGAAAATAAGAGATCAGACATGTGACCCAAACATTTCAGTAAAATATACCAAATACAGTAATAAAACTGAAGCAAGCGAAATATTATCTGTTTATTTTTCTTCACTATGATTTTCGAAATGCATATGAAGGGTAACAGTAGGTCATCTTAAACCGTGTTATGGCCGATGCCATGTACCTTCACAATTTTTTCAGCATTTGTTTCGAAGAGAAAAAGAGACCATCACCTGAGAACACACGCACGCACGCGCGCACACACACGCAGAGAGAGAGAGATAGTTGACGCTTGTAAGATACAATAATGGTATGTACAACGCGTGAAGATTGTCTTTTTACATACATATTTGCTCTTCTCATCACAGCTCAGGATGCCCTCTACAGATGACCCTTTTGGAAGGAATGTTTCAATAAAATAAAGTGCCAATCTACGCGGATTGTCTGTGTTCAGAGTAGACAAGATCGTCCAGGTGAACAACTGTCAAGCCAAGCAGGTTCATTCCACCAAAATGTATCCCTTTGATTCACGTTAATGACGCTCGAATTTTGTGTAATGTTTGCACAAATCGCTTGCCTCTTAAATTGTAATTTTAGTAGTACCCTCGAGTGTACAAATAAATGGACTGTCATTGACTCAAGCAATACGGAATATAAAATACCTATGGACTTGAAATAGCACACAGAGCGAGTGAGTTAAGCCCCCTTTACACTGGACGGCGTCCTTTCTGCGTCCAGCAGTACTTCCCCATTTGAGAGTTAAAAATTATAATACTTTACGTGCCTACAACTGGCCGATCAATGAGCATTCATTCTGATACAAAATCAATGCTCGTGCCTCCTTATTAAGACCACAGCGATGCCAAATTTCATGGTCGCAGAAAGGACGCCGTCCAGTGTAAAGGGAGTATTAAGCCCCCTTTACACTGGACGGCGTCCTTTCTGCGTCCAGCAGTACGGCCCCATTTGAGAGTTTAAAAATTATAATATTTTACGTGCCGACAACTGGCCGATCATTGAGCATTCATTCTGATACAAAATTAATGCTCGTGCCTCCTTATTAAGACCACAGCGATGCCAAATTTCATGGTCGCAGAGAGGACGCAGAAAGGACGCCGTCCAGTGTAAAGGGGGTATTACTGAAGTGACCACTAGAGTCACACTGAAATCGCACTTTTGTGGAATGACCCCAACACAACGTCAAGAGTTAGAGGTCGCTGCAGTCTACAATCACTTTCAGAAACATGCAGTCGTCTTTGATATAAGCGGCCCCGGGCTTGTCTAACTGGGCCTGTGGAACGAAGGAAGGAAACCCACTGGCGATGTTCATCTCTGATGTCGGTCGTTTAAAACTGGAACTGCTGGCGTCCGGTCTGAACGCATCGATCACGTGATTGAGGTTGTTCTGGTCAAGCAAGATACAGGTCACTTTCTGCTTGAATGGCCAGCGGAGGAGGGCGTCGTAGTGCCCTCGCATCACCACAAAGAAGAGGCTGACGTGCGTTCCTTTCCCCATCCCGTCGCCGTTCAGGTAGAGTCGACAGCACATCTTGTAGCCGTGGGCGCTGGTGTAGAATGCGGGAGAATAGAGGCTGCTCACGCGGCCGCTGACGGCGTCATGGCGTTTGCGCGAGACCTCAGTGATCTTCCATAGAAAAACGCCGTTGTAGCTGGCTGATTCAAGAGCTTGGATCCGAAGGTCTTGCTCTGCCATTGAGATGTCCCTCAAGGCAATGACCCGCTCAAGTGCCTTGACTTTGTCCTCACTGCTCTTAAGTCGTTCTTCTTGAACACGGCGCGTGGCTTCTTGCGATTCCAATAGCGCGCTCGTCTTCTCAATGTCTCTGGCTATTGCCGCCACCATCCCCTCCAAAGTGGAAAGTTTGTGCTCCAAGGTCTTCAGATTGTCCCTCATTTGTTCCACACGTACGGTGCTCGATTCTCCAGGCGTCGACGGCTCTCGTCTGTTGATTTCAACTACCTTTTCTTCGAGCTGTTGGACTTGAACACGGCATTCCTGCAGTCCGACCTCCATCTCTCCAACTCGCCTGGTCATTGCTTCTACGCCAGTTTGTTGCTTGTGGCCGACTTCTTTCTGGAGATCTTCGACTCGCTGTCGAATTTCGTCCATCTGCGCCAACATGGCAGCTTCGGTTTGGAGCTTAAATTACAAAAAAGTTTTTAAAAAGATATAAGTCGATCAGTACATGGTCTATTTTGTCATATGTTATCCTTCTGTGTATTTTGAGTCCATTTTATCTCAAATTAAGAGTGTCCTTCTTGCGGAATGCTCTTTTTTACCTACCTTGCATATGGCATCTGACGAGTCGTCTTCGGAAGTTGTGACACGCCTTGAAAGGCATGATCTCTCGTGGTTCTAGAATCAGAAAACTAGAAAATTTAGAGGTAAAACATTGACTTTGTCGGAAAACTGGAGACCAGAAAGCTCCAGAAATCAACTTATCACTTCAAAATTTTGTAGGGACATAGAGGTGAAATATATCAGATTTACAGTGTTATGTAAAAACGCTGATCAGCCCCCCCCCCCCCCCCCAAAAAAAATTCTATATAATTACAAACAGCCGTCTGCGATAACGTACTAGCATACCACGGTCGCAGTTGCCTTGTCACATTTAAACAGTAAATCGAGGCATTTTGGCACATTCCAAATCGTAAAAAGTATTATAGATTAACTATTGATTTATCACACGGCAGTCAATTAACCAACCTGTTGGTAGGTCTTCAAATCTCCGGTCCAGTCACATCCGGTTTGGCGGCAGGCAACCAGCAGACGATGTACTTCACGTCTAACTGCCATGTCAGGGTATATCTTCAACGATAGATAAATGAATAAAAGTTATTTGATTCAATTAATGTTTAACCAATTCATCAGTTGATTAGTATTTTTCTCAACTATAATATCCAACTATGCAAATCTAGCTTTATAGACTGGTGTAAGCTGAAGTACCTGGCGGTCATCCATTTCATCGATCTCTGGACAGTCTGGACACAGACGGCCGCCGCCAGATCTGCTCCTCTCCACACAGCCTGCACAGTGTCTGTGTCCACACGGCGTCTGCACTGCGTCCCTCAGCACCAGCTGGCAACTTCGGCATTTGAAGTGTTCTTTGATTTCCTCAGGCCGAGTGAACAACTCGTGTTGGAACCCCCCAATTGGGAGGCCTTCAGGCGTAGTACTCTGTGATGTCACAGCTACATGTGGTGACGTCAGACCAAAACGTTGTGACGTTAGACCCACACCTAGTTCTGCAATAGCCATGTTGTTTCTGTCCTAAATTTGGAAAACGGAAATTTGAACTCATAAAACGTTAAGTCATATCGTTTATAAGGTCTATTTATTACATTTTCTTCTGTCAAAACTAGATTTTAGCAAGCATTTGGGTGAAAAATTATTATCAGTTGAAAAAGTTTTACTAATGAAAAGGGAGATGTAACACAATGAAATTCATAATAACAATTTGTTCATTGTGGTAGTATAGCTTTTTGGTTAAATTATCCTCAGATTTAAAGCAAGAGTTTGTGATAAAAATTGTCTAAATTTGTCAAGGACAATCTTAATGACGTCATTGACCTACAGAAAAGTAAAAAAAGGTAAAACAAGTGTTGACGTCATTACGTGGATCTTAACTTGTCTGCAAAGTTATAAACTCTTTTACTCTACGTAACTCACCAGATCACGCCTGGCCCTCTGTGCAAATTCTCTAAGTTGGATGTTCCATCCGCGTAAAGTGTGGTCATCAGTGAGTTCATACCAGCTGATTGTCATAGGCTGGGACATATTGCTCAGGTGGATGACATTCACGTGAGAGCACTGGGCACTGGGCACCAAGTGGGCGAAACACTGGGCGTTAATCAGGTCGATTGGGACGCTAGGGCGAAGCTCGCTGGCCACAGTGCTGACACGGTTAACGTAGTCTTGCAGGGGGCAGTGACCACCGGCCAGAGGAATCTGACCGTCCGATGACCCGTGGCCGATAAACAAGATGACGATGCGTCCCGCGTTCCTGTGCTCTCTGATGAATGAGGAGACTTCATGAAGAAGATCGGTTTCCTCGTACACCATCACTTCTCTGATCACGTTTTCGTTTTGGTTATCGGCACCCGGATAGATTTGACGAAAGTCGCGGATTTCGCACTGTCTGTTCTCCGCGTCTATCCCCGAGTGTGGCGCCGCAAGGAGAAGAAACGCCACTCTCCTGGCTTTTTGGATGGCCTCATTGTATTCCTGCCTAACATCCCTGTGGGACCCTCTCCCAGGTAGGGCATTGAGGCTCAACTCACCGCGACCAAGAAGGAATTTTCGGAAATACATCCTTTTCTCTTCATCGTCGTCCGGCAAATTTACCCCGTACTCTCGCCACCCTAACTCCACGTAATATTCTAAAATTTCACGTTCCCTGGTACTCTGTTCATTTTGAAATTTCTCTTTCAGCAATTCCATATACTTGTGAACGCTGATACGTTCTTTTTTACCAAGAAGATACTTGGTGGATTTCCCCTCTCTGCTAGCACCTGCCATGATTGCTGCCGACGAACCCCAATGAAAAACTTGTGATAGTTATGACTTAAATATACAAAATTCGTTGTTTAAGGTCAACCCGTCCAGTCTCTTATCAACCGTGTTTACCACATTTAAAAAAATCCTTAACTTATTCATCGGTGTTATATAGCGTCCAGCTTGATTCAGAATAGTGACGGAAGAAGGAATAACAATCATGCATCTCCTGTCAGTAATACCGAAAGCGTTTTCAGTGACACTTTAAAGAGCTGGACTTTTTAGTCTTTCGGAAGAATAAGCGACAAGACAAAGTAGTTCAGCGGTGTGCTAAAAATAGAAAGGGGATATTGTAAATAATGTCATCTGACTGCATAAGTTTGGCGCGGAAAGTCCCGTCTTTGTTCATTCATATATAAAACAACGGCCAGTTTTCACTAACTTAAGAAACCTTGGTACATGTATTAATATATGCGTAAACTTGATAATACAAATGATATTTAATGAGTGTAGTATCTTAATTAATGTGCTTACACAAGGACTTACTTAGCAGTCTCTTTACTGAATAGTTGTTATAAACTTGGCAGTATAACTTGCTACATGTAGATGGCACATATAGTAATACACAGTGCATATAGACCCTATCCCATTTTTTTATGCAATTATTTGTAAATTCTAGATATTGACCATATGCATCACAGGCCCATAGCCAGCAATTTCAAAAGGGGGGTTCTGAAAAAGTGGACCTTTTCCCATTAAAACTTCATGTAGGCCTACCTAGATCAAATTTTGTCCACAGTGGACCTTTTGCCAGCGAAAGGGGCGGTTCTTACGAACCCCCCGAACCCCCCCCCCCCCCCTGGCTACGGGCCTGCATCATGTATATGATAAGCAAAAGGAGGTGGTTATCACTACAAGCAGCTATTTAAATACTTACTAGCCCCCCCCCCCCCCCCCCCCAATGCAATAATCAATAATGTGTTTCGGTATGCTAGATCTTAAAATAGTACGGGGAATTCCGTTATGCCGAGCCATGGTTTTAGTAGAGAAATGAAATGGACTTCCCGGGACCTCCGAATCCCGTCTTAATCACGGGGGTGCAGATGGTTTTAGTAGAGAAATGGACTTCCCGGGACCTCCGAATCCCGTCTTAATCACAGGGGTGCAGATTTTAAGGCGTGTGCATAAAGAATGTTTTACATCTATGTCTCACAGATATCATACTTAAATTGTTCTATACAGGAATTTTGTTTGCCCTGCACCCACCCACCCCCCTCCGTCCCTCTCACAATTTTAAGCCACGCACTGCCAGTGATAGCTACGTCGAACTTTTCTTTCCCTTTCTTTACTGACTTGTCTTTTCCTTTTTTAACAATTAACTGTAAACCACCCTGAGCTTCAGAGATAACTTGACACTAACCTCTTCACTAACCTCTTCAATAGCCTATCTTCATCGTGTCAAGTTACCTCTGACCACATTCGATTGCCCCCGCCGCCCGCCAATCAAATTTAAAGCCCGCACTCAATGACTCATTGAACGACCTTGCCAATGAACGCGAACGAGTCAAAGCGCGCTTTGTTCAAATCCGGACCAATCAGAGATAAGGCTCAATATCAGGGACTTGCCGTAACCTGTGGGCAGCACGAAAAATACATCATCCCTCAGTAGATAATGATGCAGGGCCTCAAACTGCTCTGGTTTCAATTCCGATATACTCATATTTTGCAAAGAATCAAGAGATAACTTAACACATTATTTTACGTGGTCACTCGTAGGAGACGCCATGCTTTCTTTGTGTACGGTTAATCACTCGGCACTACTCGGATGTCTCCGCACTCGACAATAACTTTGTTGTTAGTATGGAGCTTGCGGAATCAGCCGAGGATTACCGATTGACGGTCAACCAATCAGCGTTTTCACCAAACTTTGGTGAAAAATTTTGAAACTTGGATTCAATTGGCTTATATAAACTAGGTCAAACTATTTTCGTCAGAGGTAACTTGACACGATGAAGATAGGCTATAGTGAAGAGGTTAGTGTCAAGTTATCTCTGAAGCTCAGGGTGACAGATGTTGATAACATGATACATTATTACTTATTCTTTGCATTGGAATTCTGTGTCGCTTTCAATTCTATTTGGATACAGCTTTATTTACTCTTATAATGTAATTGCATTAACATAAATGCATTAGCAGTCTCATAACAAGATAAATGACATGTAGATATCACACGGTCTTTTTAACTGGACATCCTAAAGCAAAGTTTCTGATGCAAAGTTGACACTTTAGTTATAGCAGCAACTGTTTTGAGTCAGTTAGACTCACCTAAGAGATTAAACACTTTTAATAAGTTTAAAGTTAAATTATCATAACAGTTATTTCAACTTTTGCCTTTAAATTTAATGCTTCCCTGGTTTGTGCATTTTTTAATTAGTTGTGTTGAAGCAAAACCTTTCATTCAATTTCACAAGATGTCCAAACTTGAGTGCCAAGACCCTGATACTCTCTCATGAAAAGGTCATTTTTATCCCCAGTGGTTCAGTTTGATGTCTGTGTTGTACCCAGTGCCCAGTTAATCCCCCAGCTTTGCTAGAAATGTTGTGTAATTTTTGCCTTCATTGCCAGGGAATGGTGGTATTAACCCTGGCCCCCAGCGGTCTGAGGCTGCGTTCAGACACGTTTTAAATTTGGACTGATTTTATGACTGAAAACTTGTAAAGATAAGTTCAAGTCAATTTTGCCATGGATTGATGGACTTCTCTTAGGTCTCCAATTCTCTATTGCTGGGTTCAGACAAATTTTAAAGTTTTAGCAATTTATGGGTATTACATGTCACAGACAGCTAAGTTATTGTTACCAGAGAATTCTGTGTCTGAGTTGAAGTGGGGAATTTTTGATACAGAGGACTGCAATAGAGAAACCCCACTGAACCTCAGGTATTTAAGACCCCAATGCAGTCATGAAGTTGTTCAGCAAAACATTTCAGTCTGAACCAGACATGGTTAAGAATTTGGGTGAACACAGCATCAAATGTCACCCAGGGATCTTACATATTGATAATTAGGGTTGCTCTTATTAAACACAACTATAACACTATAAAATACAGGTGAAAACCATTCCCGTTTAGAATCATTACGTTAAAAGGACACAAAAGAGGATTTTCGCGCCAAAATTGATTTATCCTGATTTATCCCGAGGTTAACACTACTTTTCCGCGATTTACCAACCTTTAATCTATCATTCCCGGCACTCGCCATCGCTCTGTAACATTTTTNGCCAATGAACGCGAACGAGTCAAAGCGCGCTTTGTTCAAATCCGGACCAATCAGAGATAAGGCTCAATATCAGGGACTTGCCGTAACCTGTGGGCAGCACGAAAAATACATCATCCCTCAGTAGATAATGATGCAGGGCCTCAAACTGCTCTGGTTTCAATTCCGATATACTCATATTTTGCAAAGAATCAAGAGATAACTTAACACATTATTTTACGTGGTCACTCGTAGGAGACGCCATGCTTTCTTTGTGTACGGTTAATCACTCGGCACTACTCGGATGTCTCCGCACTCGACAATAACCTTGTTGTTAGTATGGAGCTTGCGGAATCAGCCGAGGATTACCGATTGACGGTCAACCAATCAGCGTTTTCACCAAACTTTGGTGAAAAATTTTGAAACTTGGATTCGATTGGCTTATATAAACTAGGTCAAACTATTTTCGTCAGAGGTAACTTGACACGATGAAGATAGGCTATTGTGAAGAGGTTAGTGTCAAGTTATCTCTGAAGCTCAGGGTGCTGTAAACTGAATACGGTTGGAATTTTTTCGACTGAGTCGCTGGGGAAACCGTGGATCAACCACGCTTCAATAACCACGAGTATAGAAACAATAAATGAGTTGCCATGATGGGCTGTTCTTTTCTTTGGATTCAAAATCAGACTTGGGGACCATTCCCACAGATATTTGGATCGATCTATCTCCCTGGGGTGGGGGTGTCTCACTAAATTGCTATCAAACTGACCGGCTTAAACGTTTGTCACGCCTAGTAAAACTGTAAGGGGGTAATTATCTTTACCCCTAGCTGATGCGGTAGACGTGACAGACATTAAAGCTTCTTGAGCTGATAGGAATTAAGGGTAAAACCCCAGTGAGTTAGGTCGATCCAGATGGATTGATCTTAGTATGGGAACCCAGTCTAAGATATTTGTACACAATAGATCACACTATCTGCAGTTCTCGATCGACAGGACCGCGGGGGGAGTAAAATGTTTGAGTGGGTGTTTGAGCTCAAGGCCCATGATATACGCGCGGCAGGGTATGTGCACGGCGTGTACAGTACTGTGGACAAGGGGTGAAAAAAATTAGGAGACATTCAAATGGACTACCTCCCCCCCTGCCCCTTTCTGTACGGACTACGGCCTGGAGATTTATCATAACTGCAACAGATTTGTAATGAAACCTAACAAATTCATTAATAGGCCTACATATATACCACTGTGAACACGAACATTGGAGACGGTACACTACTAAAGAACGGATTTAGCCGTCCATTTATGAATGCATTTTTGTAAGGTTTTTAAAACCGCCTCCCCATCTCCATCACGCCCTTTAACAAATACTTGATCGGGGCTATGGACTAAATGGGTCATCTAGAAAAAAAATAAGAAAAAAAGTACAAAACAGAACAAAGCCAAATCATTAAGGACATTTTATTACACACAAATATTTGATACCATTAAATTTTCAAAGTTATAATCTGAAGGAATGAAATAATGATGAGAGAACAGTTTCATTAGCTCTGTATGTATCAATTTAAATTATTGATTCTCTTTTTATCAAGAGCTTATAAAATATGTGGGTAGATGGAGAAGGTTCTCTGCCAATGCTAGATATAAAGATGACCAAAGACAAAGAACGGATAAAAACTACAGTGTACAGGAAAGCCACGAACACAGATCACTACTTACAGTGGTCGTCTCTTCATCAGGCCTACCCAACTACCAGACTCGGCACCGAATGATCCTGAATTCACCGGTAGATCAGACCACACTACCTGTTTTCAAGGTGTGTGTCAGATCGCATTACACAGTATCATACCCTGAACGAATTTTGAGTGGTGATGCAATGCTTTTCAACCCCGCTGAGAATCGTCACTATCACATCGCGTACTAGGTAAGAGCGGTGTCGCGTCTGATACTGTGAAATGCGTACTGATACACACCTTGAAAACGGGTAGTGTGGTCCGATTTACCGGTGAATTCTGAATCATTCGGTGCCGAGTCTGGTAGTTGGGTAGGCCTGTCCATCCAACCTCGCAAAAACTTAGTGTACCAGCTTCACTTTTAAACCAACGTGAGATCGTGATATCCGATACAGAAGACAAACAAATAGAAAGGAAGAAGATTGAAAAAGACCTGTTAGCATGTGGATATCCAAAATGGGCACTAAAACAAGGGAAAAAAGAGGCACGAACAGACATGACAAAGAAAAGGATGCAATGGGCCCCACTGAGCGGGAAAGCAAAGCATAGTATTACCATACTGCAAAGGTCTGTCAGAAAAACTAAGCCGGATTTACAAGAAATATAACATCAAACTCCACCATAAGACAAGCACCAGTAAAATCCAAGGATCCTCTAACCCAAGGAGAGCAATGTGGTGTGATATAATCGGTCAAATGTGGAACCTGCCAAGGAGAATACATTGGCGAGAAAGGAAGACCATTAGCCACAAGAATGAAAGGACACAAAGATTCAGTGGCCAAAAACAACTGGAAATCAGCCCTTGGAGAACATACCTGCAAACATCCAGGTCACCACATTTTCATTCCAGTTGAAATGACCCTAGTCATTTACCCCCTGATGATGGTGACTGACAGTCACAGAAATATTGGAGGTAATACCCACATATTTTATAAGCTCTTGATAAAAAGAAAAACAATAGTTTAAATTGAAATAGTAATGTTAATAGTTCTGTTAAAAGGTGCCCCATTTTCCTCGACGTTCTGTCACTTAACAACGTGAACGGAAAAAGACAGGCTGTACGTTGCAAATGAATAGTCTCACCTACCTCCAGTGCAGTGAGACACGCTCCTTCATAGTTTTTCTTTTATTAAAACTATCTTTATCGGAAGTGAAAGATACGTGTTATGTCTGAACAACCGTCTAGATTACAAGGCTTAAAGTGCGATGGACGTCACGATGGAGGAGGAATCCAAGATAGAAAACAGAAAACAATATGACAAATAATTAAGTTATACTTAAGCCTCTTTCCCCTCAATGTGAGCAGAACAACCAATAAAGGCTAAGAGCGCATTCTCAACGAATTAAGCCAGGCTTTACAAAGCCGGTGACCTAAAAATGGCGGACGTACATGAAAGAAAAACCGCCTAATCTTTTAATAGTCTCTCCGCCTCCCCAAACGTCGTCCCTGCGGGGTACAGTAATTAAATCGCGTCTCCGTTCGCCATGCGGAAGCTACCTGAGAAATATTAAGTGCGCATGCTCATCAGTTAAACTCGTGGTGAAGAAAGCATGGCGGCTGAAGGCGATCGAAGGAAAAAAGCTCTTCTGTTCTATTATCTTTGAAAACAGAGACGAAAAAGGAATAATTTGGCCCGTAGAGCAGCAATGAATCGACTATCTACGGAGATAATATCACCAGAGATATTCACGGAAATATTAATGTTCGGAGCCGAGATTTAATTACTGTACCCCGCAGGGACGACGTGTGGGGAGGCGTGTGAGAGGCGGAGAGACTATTAAAAGATTAGGCGGTTTTTCTTTCATGTACGTCCGCCATTTTTAGGTCACCGGCTTTGTAAAGCCTGGCTTAATTCGTTGAGAATGCGCTCTAATACTCATATAAATTAATGCGTTGATAAATAGCTGATTTAAAATATACAATATATAATTCTATACTTTGTGAGTTTATACACGCAGCAGCCATGCGTATAATTGTTTACATTAATTATCTGTTCACGGCAGTCACAATAAATACGTGTGTAAAATAGTAATATTGATTAAAGTGTTTTGATATTTACATTTCATCTTTTCAACTACGTCCGTCAAACGCAAACGCAACCCTTCTAGCCTCTAAAGACACGTATCTATAGGTAATGTGCCTTGTTATCGTGTCGTGACTTATTGTAGGCCTAATTTTATTAGACTGTAGTCACTGTAATTTTCTTGGGTAGTTTTCAACATACTTTCTTTTTTATTGTTTATATATATAATTGTGCTGCTATTTATTTTTTTATTAGATGTAGTTAGATATAAAGTCTATGATATGATGATAGTATCTTATCTTATATATGAAGGTGTTTATCAATAAAGTATTCCATATTTAAGTCCAGAATTCATTTATCTGCATGTATGTAGATTAAGTGGAAAAACCTTTGGATTCTGATCAAGACGAAGTATGTAGGCTATACACTGATAACAAAACCTGGAGTCCGAGTTCCAACTTTTGTTCACCACGTCGATAAATGTGTTATATTATAGGTCTGGAAAAGTTGTACCTAGGTTATACACACCCGCCAAACACCTGATGTGGGGGCTTCTCGTGCACAGTATCTATGACGTAATCGGTGGGCCCGCCTGCCATGTTGGGAACAGATACCGGGAAGTCTCGTTGTGAAGAAGTGTCCATGTGTAGCTCGTTCGTCAACCAAAACGTGTCAACAGTTTTTTTCCCCTGAAAAAAAAAAAAAAAAACATCATCATGAAAAGGGAGGTGAGGGTTAATCTCATTGGGAGAAATGTTTTGCATCATAGGATGGAAACCAGTGAAGCCTCTTAAAATAATTAAATTTTTATCTTAGAATAGTTTTGTCATTGTGTATAGGTTTTCTAACGGAAGAATGCAAACTGGTGTAGAGGAGATGCACGCTTAATATCCCAAACCCCTACCCTCACCCCACCATCTACCCCACCACACCCAACACTCCCGTAACAACACCTCAACACTGGCGGATCCAGTAATTTGGTGGGTGAGTGTAGGTGGGGGGGAGGGCACAAACCTAAAATAAACAGTAGAATAGGGCATAGATTACTATAATGTGTAGCGGCTCAGGATTGACACAAGAAAACAGTTTTGTTTCTTCCCTTTTTCGGTGAACCTGTTGTAGTCACCTGACCTGAAACCGCCATTGTTTTTAAACAATGGTAAAACATCTAGGATTAGTTGATCCGCCGACAAACAGATCCGTGGATCAAATACGTTCCACTTACTCGAAAGCTTGCCGCATAGCCCCCACTAAAAGACAATGAATAGGTTTCCCGCGGGGAATACGCGGTAAGCTTTCAAGTGGGTCGGCCATATTTGATCTGCAGATCTGTTAGTCCGCAGATCATATATGGTTGTGAAAGGCTCATAGGAAGACTGTGCAGTATACATACGCTGACTGCGATATTCCCTCTTCCAGTCGTCACGAAGCCATATCCAGGGTATAACAGACCCTTCGTATCCACTGATATCTGAATTCTTCCCGCTGAAACATTTCAATTATTCTAAAATTTTATCTTATTAATTCTTAAATTTTATTTATTTAATTTTGTGATTAATTAATCAATTCATCGAATTTTTGCAAGAAAACTGACGAAATAAAGATGGGCACATGTTAAAGAAAAATTATGCTGTAAACCGTGCAGAGAGAGAGAGAGAGAGAGTATAGAGCAGTTACCTTTCCCGGTAGATTCCATTCTGGATGCAGTATTCACAGTGTCTCCAAACAGACAGTACCGCGGCATCTTCAGCCCTACCACGCCCGCCGCCACTGGCCCTAGAACAGAAAGTGAACGCAGCATACAATCGAAGGTCGATATTCCCCGTCCACCACGAACCGTCCTGGCAATCCTGACAGCGAAAAAAAAGTGTTTTAAACTTGTTTTAAGCAACCCATAGAAATGAAGAAACCTCATCACGCGTTTCAAAGGTTTACTTTGTCAACACAAAGTTTCACCATCTGAGATAAGTGCTCTGTGTGCTTCTCAGGACGTGTATAATTAAAATGATTAAGATTCTCTTGCATTGAAGGACTCGAATGCTAATCATTATTGTTATTTGTGCATGCCTGACAGAAAAGAATCCTTGGGTCTTTTTTCTTGTTGCTGGGTCCTATCATTCTAGTAAATTCAGTACTGTCCATTATATTGCATTGCATTGCATTGCATTGCATTGCATTCTCTTCTCTTCTCTTCTATTCTTTTCTATTCTATTGTTCAAATGTTGAAATCTAATTTTGCAACAACCTAATGCTTAAGATAAAAAAAGGATAAAACTCACCAGAATGTATCCCAATCCTTATCCTCAGTCGCTCTCCAGGCAAATGCGGTATCTGGAAGCTGTTGACCAGTTTCATTAGTTCTAACGACATCAGTGCAATCTCAGTGGCGTGTTTGTCGGCGTTAGGTTCTGGCAGACCGCTCACTACCATGTAGGCATCTCCAATTGTTTCCACCTTGTACACATCATAGTGGTCAATGCAGCCGTCAAACATACTGAAATTGTTGTGTAAAGGATATTTCATTTAGGTCCGTAGTAATATACTAACGATTATTATATTAGCGCAAATGAAATGACTTATTCTGAACTTCGGTTAAGTAAAATTCATTGAATTAAAGATAGAAATAAAAGTAAATAGAACGGTGGATGATGAAATAGACACAGTTACCAGAAACCCCTACTTCCAAGTGATAACTGTCACTTTATACACACTGCACGTTATTGCCACATTAACAAAGATTAAGAAGAGGTCTTAACATAACAATAATCGATGTCCGAGTATACGTCTTTATACTGTCACTCAATTATTGTCCACAAGCTAGAGTTATCACCTTTGTATTTACGTCAAAGGCCACGTGACTTCCTGGATGTGTTTTTTTTTTTTTTTTATCCGGAGAAGAGAACAGATAAGAACCAATTACTGCACGATAAGTGCATCAATATACATGTTCAGTACGATCAAATCAACCCGCTCCCGTACATTGATGCGTATATCCCTTTTGAAATAAATGGATTTCTATCTATCCATTCAGCAAGATGAGAACTAAATTACAATGGCAGTTTGTCTCCGAAAACAACTCGAAGTATTAATCACGCTCTTTTCCTGAGTGAGATTTTGGAAATAAGTGCACGAGAAACTGATTGTTTAATATCCACGCAAAACAAACAAACAAACACACACACACACACACACACACACACACACACACACAGAGAGAGAGAGAGAGAGAGGGAGAGAGAGAGAGGGAGAGAGAGAGAGAAGATTTTCAGAAACTAAAACCAATCAGTAATTGTCAAAGCTGTAATTCCCTTGTGTGGCACCAAGCAAGGTTCGCAGCAGGGCACCTGTTAGCCAGCAAAAACTATACGACAGTCACTTATTACCTGTATAAAACATTGAGCAGGGTTCGCAGCAGGGCACCTGTTAGCCAGAGAAAGTCTCTTATTACCTGTATAACCCATTGAGCATGATGATCACTTGGTTGGGGGTACTCTTAGATGCCATGTCGGTAAAGGAGACGATGTCACTGAAATAGATTGTTACGCTCTCGAAGTGCTCTGCCGAAACTTCATTCCTGAAAAGAACAATTTTAGGCACACATCTGGAGATACATACTGGATAATTTTTTTCTTTTTAATTTAAGAAATACCCTAATCGATTAACAGATACATTTGAGTGTATATTTTCTAGCAGTGGCTTTAACTGGTGGTCGATATAATAATAATAATAATAATAATAATAATAATAATAATAATAAGTTATCACCATGGATTCACCTTTTCTTCAGCTGTTCGGCTACATTGTATTGTATTGTATTGTTTTGTATTGTATGGTATTTTTTTTTTTTTTTTTTTTTTTTTTTTTTTGGTATTGTCACAAATTAACTCACTTCTTCTTCAGCTGGTCGGCCACACTGGGAGGCAGCATCCGGTGCAATAACGTCTCCGTCCGCTTCTTCTCGATGGCAAGCTCTTTGGTCTTCTGGGACACCTTTCCAGCGTACACCTTCAGCGTTTTCATCACGGACCGAACGCTGGCAATGTACCAGATAGTGGTGGCAGTACAGAGGGTGAGGATGGCACCAAGTACTGCCAAGTAAATTGCAGACACGCGCGTGGAACTTTCCTTCCCTTCTTGTACTCTTGCTCTGATCCGCTCCGAGCTAAATTCCAATAATTCCCGAAGCATCGAGATAAACTTGGTCAGATTCTCGAACCACCTCATGCTGTTAGTATACCTGTGGCAGGAGAAAAGGCGACTATTATTTATAGTTTCACAGTTTTTAAGGTCTAAAGAGAACTGGGTTTACTGATTACAAATATTAATGGATAATGATCGCCCCCTTCAAGTATCTTCAGTTATTGTACTCCATTGTGCTATATATCATTTTGTTGTATATTATTGTATTGTATATTGTTGTGTTGAACATTACTGTTGTGTTTTCTTTATTGTAAATTTAATTTGAATGACAGGGAAAGAAGCACACAATATATATATATATATATATATATATATATATATATATATATATATATATATTGAAGTTAGATTGTTTTATATTTTACTTTAGTATAATTAGATTTTTAGTATATTTACCGTTTGTGGGTAGACATATTGCGGCAAAGTTCTTCAAATCCATCGCCAAACACGGTCTTCTTTTGTCTTTGCAGGTCAGGAAGCAGGTCCGCATGTTCTGAACGGAGGAGGTCGTACTGGACTTTACACTCGGGGTCGTAATTGAAAGCCAACTGTAATAAGGTATCAACCTGGCCCTCTAGCTTTGAAAACCACACCGAACTGTCTTTGGTATACCCACACATTGTGAAGAAGGTGGAGCCCAGAGCGCGCTGGAGACCAGCGGCGTCGGTCACGCGAAGGAACATACCGTTGGCTGTGATGAGGGGCCACAAATCGGCCTCCGATGTTAGTTTTAATTGTTGCTCTCCCCAGTTCATTAACTGGTCGTTAATTGATTTGTAATAATTGATGCTGCTGTGAACGGTGATTCCCAATTCATTTGTCGTTATCCGATGCTTTTGCAAGTCCTCTTGAAGCTTGAGTTTTCTCTGTTTACCTTCGATGATCTTGCTGCCCAGTGTTATCTGAGGAGGCCACTGTGAAAGGCTGGCAAGCTTCAAGTTGGTCTCAGAACGTTGTGCATCTAAGGTAGCCAAGGCGTCGCTGTTGGAGCCATTGGAACTGAGGTACATTGCTGTCAGGCCTCGTTCCTTCTGCAGGGCCAGTACCAGATTGGTCACAGCCATGGTAACGTCCAGACTTCTCTCAGTCTTGACTGCAGAGGCCAGATTTTCGTATGACTGGCTGAAGTTGATTCCTACCATGATGACTAACAAAACTAACGGCACGATCATAACGGCTATCAACTTGCCCGTCTGCCATGACGTCTTCTCCTGGGTGCCGACCACAACTTCCCGGATGTCGCACTGGCTAGACGGGGACACGGCAATGCTCTGTCTTGCCTGCCGACCAACAACGTCAACTTGATTGTGTTTTGGAGACCTCCAGGACAGCCGAGTCTCTGAATTCCTTGGCGCATCGAGCGCTGTCTCCTGTGCCATGACAGTTGGTTTGTAGATTATCTGAAACAGAAGATCAATTCCAAAGTGTGTCTTCTTGCAGAGGTTAATACAATAGGAGACACGGTGGGCCATCCTCCCCCCCCCCCCTCACCAAAAGCTTCGGAGGTCTCCTCTTCCTTTTCGTACCCTTCCGATCAAGATGATACAACAATCGAAACTTTACTTAAGGATATTGTAACCCTTCGCCCAAAACTCCTTGTTTACCGCCTTAAATACAATCTTTTGGGTAATAGTTAAATCTCAGTGTTCAGTGACTAAATTCATTAACTATCACTCATACGCCATCTTACAGATAACGACAGAATTGCAATTTTAGGGTAAAAACTGAAAAATCGCTTTCTCAAATTTCTTGTTACCTGAGCACCCACGATCACCGTTTCTCAGCCGGTTCAATGACACCATTTAGTACTCCAAAACACTGCCAGCGATTTTTCTTTAAGGCCTTAGTTTAGATTTTATCGTTGATAAAGCAAATAATACCTTTGTTTAATAAAAATTCTGTAATTAGGGGCTCATAACTCCATAACTAAAATATTTAAACCACAATGACAGCACGAGATTGTAGCCCATAATTCATGGACATCTCGGCCAATTTTCGTGATAAAATATGGTTCAGGGATGAAGTTACGCCCAAATATACTGATTGTTATCTCGACTCAAAATTGAAAGGTGTTAATTAGACGATGAACGCTTTGAGTTGCCTATACTTATACATTGCAACGAGAAATATGAGCGCCGTTATTTTATATTTTCGAGGAATTTTATTGCTTTAAATCAGCACAAAGATAGATGCATTATTGAATAAGTAGATGCAGGAAAAAACTCACTTATGGTATCTGGGTGATAATGAAGGGTAACATTACCCTTAGCCAAGCAATTTTCTATCGCTCTGTCCGTCTGAAAAAAAAAAAACATTCTCCTCTTAAACTGTAACATATTGCCCTCACTTCACTCCATAAGCAATACCCAAGTGCTTCCCCCATCTCCCCAGTAAAAAAAGAAGATCCGCCAATGTTGTGACACGCTATTATAGCAAGATTCGGATTGTTTTCCCTCAATCGAGCTGCCTGTTCTATTACCATTGCATGGTATTTATTAAGATATAGTTGTGGCAATTGTATGATTAAGGGTCGAGTATAAGCTGCAGAAAAGCCTTTTTCCAATAAATCCTGGAGTGACGCTATCATGCTTTTAGGTCCGCAAAACACTTGCAATTTACTCAATTGATAGATTGTCTGTTACCTGTTTTAAACGTACTATTGTTATCAAGACAACGTTGAATACGACAGTTGTGACAAATGACAGCTAAACATGATGTGTCTTTACCTATTAATACGTTAACTCTAAAAACCGCACAATACTACATGTAGAACATTCCGAAAACGCACACCTCCGACATTTAATGATAATAACATGAAAAATATGGATTATTTTCGAATTATGAGGAGATCCGGATTTACCTGAATTTGTTATCATTACATTCTTTTATGAATAGCTGTTCATCCTACAATTGACATTTTATGTACTGTATAAAAGGTAAACACGTGCATTTCTGTGCCAGTCCTACCTTTTTTCTCCTCAATGCGGCGTTCTTTTACTACCATTCAGGCGGCATTCGTCAGGAGCATTCGTAAGCTACGGTGTAGAAGGATCTAATAAGTAAAGTGCACAATGGATCTCCACCTTATTACTTTTATAAGCGTACAACATGCGCATGCGCACTGAAAGCTAATTGTATGTTGTTTTTTTTATCTGGCGTTGTCGTGTTCACAAACAAACAATTTTTGGAAGGAAGGTTACATTGCCCTCGGTTCAATGTGTACACACGCAAATCACATCCAAGTGGTTTTCGTGTGTATACACACGAAAACCACTTGGATGTGATGTGCATANAGTCTGTATATTGAAGTTAGATTGTTTTATATTTTACTTTAGTATAATTAGATTTTTAGTATATTTACCGTTTGTGGGTAGACATATTGCGGCAAAGTTCTTCAAATCCATCGCCAAACACGGTCTTCTTTTGTCTTTGCAGGTCAGGAAGCAGGTCCGCATGTTCTGAATGGAGGAGGTCGTACTGGACTTTACACTCGGGGTCGTAATTGAAAGCCAACTGTAACAAGGTATCAACCTGGCCCTCTAGCTTTGAAAACCACACCGAACTGTCTTTGGTATACCCACACATTGTGAAGAAGGTGGAGCCCAGAGCGCGCTGGAGACCAGCGGCGTCGGTCACGCGAAGGAACATACCGTTGGCTGTGATGAGGGGCCACAAATCGGCCTCCGATGTTAGTTTTAATTGTTGCTCTCCCCAGTTCATTAACTGGTCGTTAATTGATTTGTAATAATTGATGCTGCTGTGAACGGTGATTCCCAATTCATTTGTCGTTATCCGATGCTTTTGCAAGTCCTCTTGAAGCTTGAGTTTTCCCTGTTTACCTTCGATGATCTTGCTGCCCAGTGTTATCTGAGGAGGCCACTGTGAAAGGCTGGCAAGCTTCAAGTTGGTCTCAGAACGTTGTGCATCTAAGGTAGCCAAGGCGTCGCTGTTGGAGCCATTGGAACTGAGGTACATTGCTGTCAGGCCTCGTTCCTTCTGCAGGGCCAGTACCAGATTGGTCACAGCCATGGTAACGTCCAGACTTCTCTCAGTCTTGACTGCAGAGGCCAGATTTTCGTATGACTGGCTGAAGTTGATTCCTACCATGATGACTAACAAAACTAACGGCACGACCATAACGGCTATCAACTTGCCCGTCTGCCATGACGTCTTTTCCTGGGTGCCGACCACAACTTCCCGGATGTCGCACTGGCTAGACCGGGACACGGCAACGCTCTGTCTTGCCTGCGGACCAACAACGTCAACTTGATTGCGTTTTGGAAACCTCCAGGACAGTCGAGTCTCTGAATTCCTTGGCGCATCGAGCGCTGTCTCCTGTGCCATGACAGTTGGTTTGTAGATTATCTGAAACAGAAGATCAGTTCCAAAATGTGTCTTCTTGCAGAGGTTAATACAATAGGAGACACGGTGGGCCATCCTCCCCCCCCCCCCTCACCAAAAGCTTCGGAGGTCTCCTCTTCTTTTTCGTACCCTTCCCATCAAGATGATACAACAATCGAAACTTTACTTAAGGATATTGTAACCCTTCTCCCAAAACTCCTTGTTCACCGCCTTAAATACAATCTTTTGGGTAATAATTAAATCTCAGTGTTCAGTGACTAAATTCATTAACTATCACTCATACGCCATCTTACAGATAACGACAGAATCGCAATTTTAGGGTAAAAACTGAAAAAATCGCTTTCTCAAATTTCTTGTTGCCTGAGCACCCACGATCACCGTTTCATCGCCGGTTTAATGACACCATTTAGTAATCCAAAACACTGCCAGCGATTTTTCTTTAAGGCCTTAGTTTAGATTTTATCGTTGATAAAGCAAATAATACCTTTGTTTAATAAAAATTCTGTAATAAGGGGCTCATAACTCCATAACTAAAATATTTAAACCACAATGACAGCACGAGATTGTAGCCCATAATTCATGGACATCTCGGCCAATTTTCGTGATAAAATATGGTTCAGGGATGAAGTTACGCCCCAAATATACTGATTGTTATCTCACCTCAAAATTGAAAGGTGTTAATTAGACGATGAACGCTTTGAGTTGCCTATACTTATACATTGCAACGAGAAATATGAGCGCCGTTATTTTATATTTTCGAGGAATTTTATTGTTTTAAATCAGCACAAAGATAGATGCATTATTGAATAAGTAGATGCAGGAAAAAACTCACTTATGGTATCTGGGTGATAATGAAGGGTAACATTACCCTTAGCCAAGCAATTTTCTATCGCTCTGTCCGTCTGAAAAAAAAAAACATTCTCCTCTTAAACTGTAACATATTGCCCTCACTTCACTCCATAAGCAATACTCAAGTGCTTCCCCACCTCCCCAGTAAAAATATTAAGATCCACCAATGTTGTGACACGCTATTATAACAAGATTCGGAATGTTTTCCCTCAATCGAGCTGCCTGTTCTATTACCATTGCATGGTATTTATTAAGATAAGGGTCGAGTATAAGCTGCAGAAAAGCCGTTTTCCAATAAATCCTGGAGTGACGCTATCATGCTTTTAGGTCCGCAAAACACTTGCAATTTACTCAATTGATAGATTGTCTGTTACCTGTTATAACCGTACTATTGTTATCAAGACAATGTTGAATACGACAGTTGTGACAAATGACAGCTAAACATGATGTGTCTTTACCTATTAATACGTTAACTCTAGAAACCGCACAATACTACATGTAGAACATTCCGAAAACGCACACCTCCGACATTTAATGATAATAACATGAAAAATATGGATTATTTTCGAATTATGAGGAGATCCGTATTTACCTGAATTTGTTATCATTCCATTCTTTTATGAATAGCTGTTCATCCTACAATTGACATTTTATGTACTGTATAAAAGGTAAACACGTGCATTTCTGTGCCAGTCCTACCTTTTTTCTCCTCAATGCGGCGTTCTTTTACTACCATTCAGGCGGCATTCGTCAGGAGCATTCGTAAGCTATGGTGGTGAAGGATCTAATAAGTAAAGTGCACAATGGATCTCCACCTTATTACTTTTATAAGCGTACAACATGCGCATGCGCACTGAAAGCTAATTGTATGTTTTTTTTTTTTTTTTTTTTTTTTATCTGGCGTTGTCGTGTTCACAAACAAACTATTTCTGGAAGGAAGGTTACATTGCCCTCGGTTCAATGTGTACACACGCAAAACACATCCAAGTGGTCTTCGTGTATGCACGTGTTTGAGAAGATGGGAGATCCTTGGAAAAAGCAAGCAGCACTTCTAACTGCCCCCCCCCCCTCCCCCCCCCCCCCCCCCCCCCCCACACACACACACACATACCGTGAAAACGCCCCTGAGTACGGCGGTCGGATAAATACCAATGAATCATCAACTTCTGAAAATACTGGCGAAAATGAATTTGCTTGACAATTTTAAAAATACTGATTAAAACTAAAGCACTGGCCAAATATGAAAGTGATGACATAAGTAGAAACTAGGTTGTACAAAATCTGGATGACAAAATCTGAAGCACCGACAAAGTAAACATTCTGGAAGGCATAGTTTTGCAGAAGAATCACATCAAAACCAGTGTCTTTTAATGTTCCCAATTCGTAGCTTTATCAGATACAACAAGTGCAATATATTTACTAGTTGCCATGGTAATTGATTAACTAGTCATCTCACTGGACACCAGCCTCACCGCATGTCTTCATATAGATTAATTTGCACTGTATTTCTCACCATAGACTTTCACTGATTATCAGGTGGTGTGAAACAATCACAAACATCGAGTGACCAACTCCAATTGCTTCGCAATTCAGATCGCGTTATGTAAGGAGGACAATTGCACAGGGAATCAAAAACATTTTCTGAAAGTTTTTATATCCATTGATCTTCATAAGCTATAGGTATTAATAAAATTAGAAAAAAACACAATCTTCCCAATCATTACATGAAGCTGGCTGGGGAAATTATGTAATCGTTTTCTTTTTGTTTTGTATTCTTTTGTGTAAACTTCGTATCATATAATAATAATAATAATAATAATAATAATAATAATAATAAGCTTCTTATATGGCGCCTTACAATAACGGATAATATAATTAAAATCATTTAAATGACTACAATATTTAAATCTAAAACTCTCATTGGGAACCATTTAAAATTAACGCTACTAAAAATCAATCTTATTAAAATATTTTTATAAAAAATCTAAGAGATATAGACAGATTTAAAAATGGGGGTCTTAAGAAGGGATTTAAAATTGTCAAAGTCTTCTGCTTTTCTAATAAAATTTGGTATGTCATTCCACACTTTGGGGGCGTAGATTATAAAAGCCCGATCACCATAACTTTTGAGAGACCCCTTCTCTAAAACAGAATGTTCTAAAATGAGGCCATTCTCAGTATTAAAATTATTATATTCCGCGTTGTGGATCATGCCACGGACCACATTGTGGCTAGTAGAGATCGTAGACTGATGCGAAAGAATGGCAACAAAAGTATAGCATACACGGGTTGATGTGGCTCAACTTTATTAAACAAGAGGAAGACGCTGACAATTCTATTAACACGCATCAAGCTTACCTAAGAAATGAACGTATGCAATGCAATGCTTACCGTTAAATCAAAAGTTATAACGATGGAAAGCAAAATGAAATCGGCTTGACGTGAAGTTCAATATGAGAATCCTTTCAACAAACTTTGAGAAACTGATGTAAATGCTTATGGACTGATGAAGTTTTTACGACTGGCAAAGATGGTTACAACGTATTATACAAGATGATACAAAATGTCACAAATCGGGATCTCGAGTTCCTTTATTTCATGGTTATTGAAATATTAAGTCGACACAGCCAAAATACGCCATGTCTACGGGCAAGGGATCCAATTCTACAATTTTCAAGAGTATGATCAAGTTTGATACAATTGATGACTTGGAGATGCCTTCATTGCGAGATATGTTCTAAGTAGTCCGTAACAGAAATTTCATTTATCCTATTAAGTGACAAAGGCGTAAGATCTGATATGCCCTAGTTTAGTCCTTTGGTCTCTTTTTTTTAGTCCCGTCGTAGAAGAGCGCCATATTGAAACTTTCCGGTATAGTCCTTGGCTTTGGGATCGTAGTCCCCGCCCCAACACCGTATCAGGACATACATGTTATCAAGCTCCTCATGTTTGCCTCCCGCGTTCACAGTCAACATGTTCATTGGCAGCTGGTTGGGGTTGCTGGCGATTACGTTGCGCCCTAAGAAAAACAAAAAAATAATTACACACTGACCGAAGTCTAATCTAAAAAAGGGTACGTGAGTGGAAAGTTAGTCTCAAGTATTAAGACCGAAAATTTGTCTTTGCCAATCCAATATATACATATATATATATATATATTTGCAGGAGTACTAGCAGCCCCAACCAAAAATAAATAAATAAATAATTGAGTGGATGAATAAATAAATATATGATAAATAATTAAGTGATTCCCGTCTTATCTAGTTGGTGCCCACTTACCGTCAATAGTGCAAGGACGGCGGTGACAGACGTATTGGTTGAAAGAGCTCTGCAGTCCAACACCAAGCACCGTGCTCTGAATCCTAAAATGACATTTCAACTAAATTATTAATAGCAAAAACCGGAAACAATCTTAATTTTAATATTTCACCTCTCAGATGGAAATATTTAATGTTTAAACACAAATAAGCAATATTGATACCATTTTATGTAGAATGATACGCAATAACTTTGGAATTTCATCTTTTTTAACAACCACGAGAAGTTTTAAACTGTAGCCAAGTTACGCTTGTAGACGCCGGTGTCACAAGAATGGTAGTCCGCTCCCCATTAGTTTACACAGGCGACATTCGTCCCAAATGCTAACCCCCGGCCAATTACTACGACTAACACTAAACTGTAGGAATCATATGTAACCCCGGACTTCCACTCCAAAGGACCACCATTCCTGTCACACATATCCGAGTTCGTTGATTTCATACGATGCTTTGGTGTCCCCCGATCTCCGTCCAGCCACGGACAGGAAGCCATCTCCCTATGACGTCACTTGAGAGAAATAAACTCACTTGTATTTTTTCATGTGTTCACCAGGACACCACCACATCTTGATGAGGACGTTGGTCTGGTAGGGCATTTTGACGGTTTGTTTGATGAAGACGGTTTGGACAAGACGATACGGCGCAGCACTTGGCATGGTGAACGGCCGGAACTCGTCGCCTACTAACCCTCTCTCGTCCTCGTGCTACAACATAAACACCACTGAAATTCTGTCAACACCTGAACGTCATGTACGGTATGATACCGTATTAATATAATTACATTCCTGTTAGAAAAGATTTCATAATTAAAATTAATCCCTGATCGCAAAAAGTCTTGCATGTGTTTAAGATTCTTGGATTGGTAGTAGTAGATAGATTCGAGCGCTTAAGAACATCACTGATCGCTTAAACCGATTTCAACTAGATAGGGGAGTTAATGATAAAGATAAAAATGTTAAGTTAAAATTACTTTACAAATAACGACAATAAAATTGTTTTGTAACTTCGGCATTGCACGACACTTCGAAAATTTATCAAAAGCACCATGCAAGACTCCCTTTTCAAAAATGTACATGAGATTGAAAAATTAACCATTTCAACAACATTAACAAAATTGGTGATAATAACAACAATGAGAATGATCAGCAGTTTAATGGTCTCAGATGTATGTACCTTCTCGTAATGTTTCTTGCGCTCTTTGAACTCCACAATGATGGAGTAGCTGACGGCCATGACGTCACCAGTGGTCGTAAACACGTACAAGTCTCGCTTGGAGTCCCAGCCCCTAATCTTACACTTGTACTTTGGGGGTTTTCCCGGTCGAGTGTTGCTGCAGAGAACTTTGGGTCCTGTCACTCTCTAAAGAATGTTAAAATATTTATCATCCGTATCCATTACCAAGCTCAAGGAAGAGTTTTGCAAAGAAGTAATTAAGCGTCAACTTCTAAATCTAAAATGTTACTTTTTTGAAATGCGTATTTTACGTTAAATACTTAAAATACATAATATTACGCTAAATCAGTTTGAAATGACAGATTCCTTCTAGGATTTAAGCTTTTCATTTCGTTAAGTTCATTAAAAATGGCAAGTCTAAGCATTTTGAAACAGTGGAACATTTAAAATTATCGGGGATTCCTTTACATCATGTATTAGTAATATTTCTGATACCCCATCCATTTGAATGAAACCCTGACGTCATCCAATACATGACGTACCTCATGTGGTCTCATTTTGTTGGTGACGTAGAAATAGACCACTCCGTTATCCGGGTTCCAGTTCTGGTTGTTCATAAGTAGAACGCTTACGGAGACATCCTTTCCCCGCATGGCGGAACATGTGGAAGCTGAATAGACTTTAAGTTCCTTTGGACCATTCGTCTTTACAGTTGACGTCACAAATCTTACACCGGCCTTTAAGAGCGGTCCCTCAGCTGCGAGTTCTTCTGGTTCGTCTATCTGCTGTGAGTTTCGGACTGGAATGACACAAAGGCAGTTTGAGGTAATGCAGTAAGAAATACCAGAAAATGTAATATGCCGAGATTGACTGCAAACTTTTTTAGATTTGACACTGAGACAATAAAATATTTACAAAATAAAATAAAATAAATAAATAAATAAAGATATTTGCTGCTATTGATATTTCGAAATAACAATGATAAAATTATATTATATCGAAGTTGTTAGGATTCACAAGTATCACTTGACAAAAAAATAAATGAAAAGTTGGAACAATATTGATAGTAAAAATGGGTCTTGGATGAAGTACACATTTAATTTATGTAAAAAACTATTATAAAGATTGAGATGAAAATGCTCTATATGACCATTGTTTGAAGGTGCCAAGCATACCAATATGCAGCCAAACGCCGTGACTAATAAGCTGTGAAAATTTATAAGTTCGTAACCCAAGGCATGGCTTGGATTTTTCAAATTCACTTCAAGCACCGACTTCCTGGGTGCGCGCAATTCAAAACAAATTGGGGGACATGCGGCAGCAGCGTCGAGATGAATTAGATTTTTTACTGCATTACTTCATGGTTTTCATATGTAAAATTGCCAATAGGTATTATTTGTCTTTAAATGAGTTCATCACGAAGTTATGTACTTCTAATTAAAAACATAATTGGCTAGGTGCACTCATGTTAGACGACTACAATATAAATTAAAATAATTAGATCATCTTTAATACATTTAAATACGTGAAGCACAAAGACGGGATCAGAGATTCAATTCACGGTGGACCAAAATCGCCAAACCAAGCTGGAAATCAAGACTGGAGTTTTCTTTTAACGTAAAATTGGACGGAGATGTTTCATGTGTGTGTGTGTTTTTTGCTGTCACTTACTATCGATAATTGACTCCGCTTTCTCATCTTCCTGGTCTATGTCGTGGTGCATATCCTTGGAAGACTGATTGTGATCGATTTGGTCCGAGCTGATGTCAGCTTTACTGTCCGAGCTAATGTCCGAGCTTATGTCAGCTTTACTGTCCGAGCTTATGTCAGCTTTACTGTCCGAGCTTATGTCAGCCTTACTGTCCGAGCTTATATCAGCCTTACTGTCCGAGCTTATATCAGCCTTACTGTCCGAGCTTATATCAGCCTTACTGTCCGAGCTTATATCAGCCTTACTGTCCGAGCTTATATCAGCCTTACTGTCCGAGCTAATGTCAGCTTTACTGTCCGAGCTAATGTCAGCGTTGTGGTCAGCGTTGTTGTCAGAGTGCGCGTTCTGCGTGATTTGTTGGTCATCCTTTTTCTTCATATGTTGGATGGGCTGGGCGTCTTTCAGTTCGTACCATCCACTCTTCACAGTCGCCCCAGATACTAAAACGAATATAGACAGCGATTATTGCTTTCTCAAAGAAGGCATCAGTGAATGAAATTTTGAAATACTTTGTTTTGATACATAACGACAACAAACAACTGCCATACTCCACATAGGACATACTGATTGTTTTTTTTTTTTCTGAACACCTTAAATCTAACCTAAGGAAACGCCCGATAGCTTTACGCATAAAACATTGATTAAAGTCCTACCAATGAGAGCACATGCTGCTAGACCAAGGACGAAGAACGGCACAAGGTGTTGCATCTTGGGGTCTTGAACAGGACACTTCCGAGTTTACCGCTGGTGTGGCGGTAAGTGCTGTGACAGGAGATTTTATGTCTATTATGGTGAGTAGATTTTACCTGTTGCCATGGTAGCTAAATTTCGATTGGCCAAAAGGAAACAAATGACACCCTTATCTGCAATTTGATTGGCTAGCGGCTCTGAGTTTATATAGGCTGTCATTACCACGTGCGAGGGGCTTGCCAGGAACTTGTGACAGACACCCTACTGGACAAGGATACCACGTTTGGGAAACCTGTGACCGGGGTATTGAAAAAAGGGGTGAATAGGATGCAAAACTTTTTTTTTAAAGGTTGAAAAGAAGAAAATTTTTCTGCTGTGTATATATTTCCATAAATCAACCACATTGACTGACTTGAATATAAAATGTCTTTTAAATATACACACATTCTTGAAAGAGTCCAGATTACTATCATTAAGTACTAGCAAACATCAGCCTGTAGAAGAGAGTACATATACTCCTATCCCACTTCACCCCGAGACAACTGGTCATTATGTGACTCGATCCAAGGTTCTTCACATAAAGTAGGCCACATTTCGGTACCGATCCTTCAAGGTCACTCCAAGGTCCCTCGGCTGAAAGGGTCTTCTTCCCCAAAGAACTTTAGCACCAAGTTGGTTTATTATTTTAGACCAAAATTTTAAGGTTTTTGGACTTCGAAGGAATCAGTAGTAGTTCACCATATCATGACATATTTTACCTGGTATATAAGAAAAAGCAGTGGCGGCTTTAGGAGAGGCTGTCAGGGGAGGTCCTGACCCCCCCCCCCTTCGATTTCTGAAAAAAAAATCACACCCATGGTCCCCTCTTGNGCACCAAGTTGGTTTATTATTTTAGACCAAAATTTTAAGGTTTTTGGACTTCGAAGGAATCAGTAGTAGTTCACCATATCATGACATATTTTACCTGGTATATAAGAAAAAGCAGTGGCGGCTTTAGGAGAGGCTGTCAGGGGAGGTCCTGACCCCCCCCCCTTCGATTTCTGAAAAAAATCACACCAATGGTCCCTTCTTGAACTTAAAATTTTGACTAGCATAGTTTTAAACCAAATGGCACCGTTGGCCCTCTAAAACACCAAAATTTTCGGGTCCCATACGGCGGGCCCCGAACCCACGCCAAAGGGAGGGTCGGCTTCTCATCCGCGGACCCCCCCCCTTCAAATAATCCTGGATCCGCCCCTGAATAAGGGTGCGAATTAAGTTTCAAACCAATATTAATTTCATTTTAGTGGACTTTTGTGGATCAACTGGTATCTTGAGCAGTGGGCGACCAAATTTAATTTGTATGCAAAAGCTTGGACCAGTTTTCGGGCTTTGGTTTTTGTCAAAAGTTGGGTTTAACTTAAAGACAGAATGTAGGCTACTGCTGTAAGGGAAACTGGCAATATTTTGCTTACTTTTTCTTTTACATGCAATCATGAAGTTTTGCTCCACTTAGAAAATAAAATGAGACTGGCGATGACTATTTTCTTGTAATTACCGGTATGATATTAAGTTGTATTTATGGAGAAATAATAACAACGGGCCTTGGCAAATAAAAATAAACCGGAGATAACGACGTGCCAGTATGCTGATCAAGTGAAGTGAAGTGACTACGACACAAAAACACTGATTTCAGTCTTCATAGCCACTGAATGAGATCGGCTATCTTTTCGTCATTTTATTACCTGGCACAAACAGCGAATGGAGATTTTACAATCACTGATTTCACAACCCATTACCACTTCAAATTTTGAAAATGAGTTTATATTTCTGCAACAAACAGCATATGAAGATTTTACATTCAGCAGGCCGGTTCATTCTTGCTTATTTACCAACAAGCTATATCAACAAGCTATATCATATGTTACTTGAAGGGAAATATAAACTAGCCCTTGTTTGCATTGTTTGACATTTTCGAGTGTACTTAAGATTCATTTTAGTAATATGTAGGTTCCATTCATTGGTGGCCAACATCTGGCACTAAAACTGCTTTAACATCTTAATTGGTGTTGGATGTTCTCCTATTTTCATTTATTTTTCCAGAAATCTATCTTTTGCACTTGTATTATTGAAATATCACATTGTGACACATTATCCATTGCAATTATCTGATTACAGATATCACTCGCTTGTTAATTTCTGTCGTATACGGCGATTTTCCTCCCAGATGGTATGAAGACGTAAACACGTGGGTGTCAAGTGCGTGTTTTTTGTCTCACAGGATGTAGCATTCACAGTCACGACATGTACCATACATAATATGTTTTCGACCGGAACTGTGCAAATATGGATATTCTTATATGGATAATTTATATGCTAATACATGTAGTAATGCTATGCTATGCTATTCTATGCTATGCTACATGTACGTATATATGCCACACCACACTAACCTACACCATGGGCGCATTCAGATTTACACATCGAACTAGCTGGGTCGGTCCAACTCCTCGGTGGGTTCCCACTAACGTGCAGGCAGTGAAATTGGCTTAATCAGCACATGATAGTTGAATACCCCCCTAACTGCTCGAGGAGGCGTGTCAGGCAATTATGCTGATTCCGCACTCCGCAGAGTTGGGTCGACACAGCTAGTACGATGTGTGAATCTGAACGCGGTCTATGAAGAACTGTATTTTACTATCCTACATGTATATGACAGTATCAGTTCAGAATAGTCATCAACCATAAAATACATCGAGTTGTCCGTTTAGCATTATAATTTGCAGGTTTTTGATCTATTTCAAAGTTTCTTATATGTGTTCTCTTTCTGGTTTACGTCAGTTTCCCGCCGTGGTAGCCGCCGTGGTAGTAGTAGTCGTCGGCGGGATGAACTCTCCTCTGTTATATTTCTGTATTACATCGTTGGCAAAAGGTCCGACTCTTTGGACTGTAACAGATATGGAAACCTCATGAAAATCATACACTTCAAACAAGGCCTTTACCAGAAAGCCGTCCAGCCGTCATTTAGACGGTCATTGGCTGTAAAATTCGGCTAAACAGTGTACATATTTGTAAGATTCCCAATTTTTATGTGATTTCTGATAAATCAAAATAATTACAGTAATAATTACCATTATTTTGGTGTAAATATGATGTTGTATTCTTGCTTTGAAATAGAGAGAGAGAGAGAGAGAGAGATAGGAGAGCTGGAGGTAAACATGTTACCCCTGTGATAGGCCGCATTCAGAACTGCGGACTAACTAGTCCACGGGTCAAATATGGCCGACCCACTTGAATACTTCCCCACGGGGAATCTACTCAGTGTCTCTTAGCGGATTCGACGGCAAGCTTTTTAGTCGGTCGCCATATTTGGATCGCAGACTAGTTAAGTCTGCTGTTCTGAATGCAGAGAAAAAGAGGCTAAAAAGAGGGGTAGGAGGTGGGGGTGGGGTGGAGAATTTAGGGTGGGTGGGTGGGTGGGGGATGACTCACTCCCCAGGATCAGCAGTATCACAAGTGCCAGCAGGACCAGTCCGCAGATCACCCCCGCCACGATGGAGAAGGTGGACGTGTCGTGGAAATGAAATTTCTTCTTCTTCTTCTCCGAGGGTGCTAGCCCCCTGTTATACGGATCCATCTGAAGAGAAATGATATTAGAGTACTGCGTCAGATCTTGTCGTCAGTACTTTGCTAATTACGTCCAATATTACATGGTCATAAAATCGTCCACTTGGTTATTAATTAACGCCTTACTAAGTCGATCTTGTTATCAACAAGGAGTTATAACAGATAACAGATAACTCCTTGTTATCAATAAGCTCATTATCACCAGCCTCTCGATATTCTAATCAACGGAGGATGCTTGTTAGTCTGTCAATCTAATTGCATTTAGCGGGAGTCCCCTCGAAATTAGTGCGCACAAGAGTGCGGCCTTTATGTTAGTCATCGTAGTCCCGTAATTGCAATAATTTCCCATAATTAGTCTGTTAATCTTATTACATTCAGCGAGAGTCCCCACCAAGTTAAAGCGCACTAACAAGTGCGACCTTCATGTCACTCATTGCGAACTGTCTCTTAATTGCAATAATTTCCCAGTGACGTGCATTAAATTGTTCTACGAAGCAATGAAGAAATTGTTCGCCGTTTCATAACTATTGGTCAATTATTTAACTTTTACTTTGAGAAACTATTAATCTGACATACCTTCTCAATGGACGAAAACTGTCCTTCAGTCGCCATAACAGAGTCGTAAATAAAAACTTTCAAATCAGGGCAGACTTTCTCGGGCCTTACTTCGCCACAATCTTGTCTCGCTTTAATCTCGTGTAAACTTGACAACCTCTCAGTGTCTCAGCAAGAGATAAATTCTGCTGTGGTTTAAATATGTAGAGTCGTTTTTCACATTTGCAAATATCTGTATCTACTGCGTCCAAATGAACAGCAGGTAGTGCAGACTTGACAGCGCAGGCAAAATGTATGCGACCTCTCTTTGTGTCGAAGCGCTACGTACAGGTTTTTTATTTACCTTAGGCTAAATTACCTGTACAGTGTGCCATGTTTACATTGACTGAAGTGGATCAGTCTAGCCGTTCACCAGAACCGAGACTGTTGTTATAGGCCACTGTTGTTATAGGCCCCATTCCCATAGTCACCGACGGTCTACGCGGACCGATCCAACTCTGCTGGGACTCTCGCTGAGTGCAATCAGCTTAACTGAATGACACGCCTCCTCTTTTTTCTAACGTCCTCGTAAAACCACCAGATTTTTATATTCTACTTAACACCAGAAGTAGGCGGGTCATTCAGTTAAGCTGAGTCCCCCCTAAAAGCCACCCTCCCAAGAGTTGGATCGATTCACGTAGACCGATGGTGTCAATGCTAATGGGACCATAGCTGGCCCAATTACATGTATTAAATTTTATATGGAACAAGGATTCGTTTTCAACCAAGAAATTTTCAGTTAATGGATAGACTTTACTTCATTGAGTGTCCTCAGCTTCAGCCATCTTCAGATTATACTTGTAATACCTTTCAACGAACCCAAAAGAAAAAAATTGACCACGTTGACCCTAGTCTTCTTTTAAATCTTCAAGCAAAAATTTGTCTAGTGTAAACGCGCCTGTAAATTTCCACTTTCTCAAGGTCTCGCCCCTTTTTTAACAAAAGCGGCCACAATGTGTTTAAAACGCGCAATGGCTCTTGAATACTGACTGAATGTGTCTAGCAGGTTAAAGAAACAACTTAATTTTGGACAGCTTTTGTTGTCAGTTGAAATGCAAATGAACCTCTTGTAATGTTATAAAAGGATTTGGAATGCGGTTTTGAAATAGTATAGTTATTTGCGCTATAGGTATAGTGTGGCGAGGCCGCTGGCGTATGAGCAAATAATATGTTCAGGTATACCAGTCAGAAGGCGGCTTAGATCGTAATAAAAGGAAGCTGTGTGCTTTGTTTTCTCAAGTATTTGCTTTTGAGTTAGGTTAGGCGACGTGTCCCAAACTTGCAATTTGCATCAAAAGAACAGTTGAGATGAAAAGAAAAAATATTATTATTATTATTATTATTATTATTATTATTCATAACGCAGCCCACAGTGTCCTTATAGAAATGACTTAAGATATTTTAATAGCATGAAAAGCATGAAAAGGGTTTACGTGTTATTTCCTCTGACAATGGAGGAGGTTACGATTTGCTTGCCGTTTGTTTGTTTGTCTGTGAAGAGAATTACGCAAAAAGTAATGACAGATTTTGATTTTTAAAAAAATCATGATTAGTCACGAATGGCCAAAGGAAGAAATTAATAGATTTTGATGCTGATCCATTATTAAATTAATTAATTATATAATTTTCAGGATATATCATAAATGGACAAACGAAGAAATGATTTAATTTTGGTATTGATCCACCAATTACATGTATTAATCAATTTTGAATAGATTTTAATTAAATATAATTAATTAATAGGTAATTATTAGTTAATTATTTGTTTCGGCATTTCTAGTTATACCTGAAAGGTTCGCCGAAGCAATTTCAGGTACTCCTCAGCCGAAGTAAAGCCTATGATTTGTCGTTTTCCCTCAGGCATATTGTGTTATAATGAACTCGAAGTCAGAGTCGGTCTCAACAAACACATTTGGCCAAATGCGATCGAGAATGTAAAGTCAGAATGAATACAGGGAGCGCCCCCCCCCCCCCCCTCCTCTACTATAGGCCTACATGTAGGTTGAATTTTTTTTACTGGTGCAAGTGGGTTGTTTATGACTGTGTTATTTATAATATCTCTCCCTCTCTCTACATATATAGGTAGGCCCATATCTTAATTTACTATTATAGCTATACTGCGGTTAGGTAAATAACTTAAAAATGGCCTCAGCTTGATTTGCACAGCATTATTTCATTTTTAAAAACTTTTTGTTATATGTAAAACACGTCCCAGGGAACAACAGAAGCATTCTGTTGAAGCCCATTTAAACTTATTATGTACAGCGATAACTTCCAGTCTTTCCTGTATTTTAGCAAGGAGGTCTTGTTGGAACTCCTTAATTGATTTTAGTTTCTTTTGCGGCCTATCTTAAACACTAGCGCCAGTGTTAAAATGCTTTATAAACACACCACAAGGTCTTATCAAGCTCTGGTAACTAGAATCAATTTTTATTACATGTGATATTCAATTTTCAGTAATTTTTTGTCTCTCTCTGCGCTTCCAATATAAAATATAGGATAATTANACTTGTTTTCATACACTAGTGACCTCTCATGGATCATTGAAACATTTCAGTCTTTCTACTGACTTTGGTTATCAGTGAACCTAAAGACTTGGGGGGAGATATAGGATAATTATTTATGTAGACTTATGTAATTTACCTTCTGTTTCAGATAGCGATCATTGTCAAGTTGGACCAATAAACGCTTAACGACAAATAGTGCAGTGTACTTATTTATAAAAAAGAACCAATAAAATAATGTAATGGAAACGTCATCCAGCCGCAACGTGGCCGTGTTTCAAGGAGTTTGATTGGTTGCGGTTACAAGGTCAACTGAGGTCGTAGTGAGGACATGTCGACTGCTATCGCGGTGGTTTAGAATCGTGGAGGAAATGCCGCGTCCTGTTTGAGAGGACAGTGAGGTGAGTGATCATTTCAGCTCTCATTCGGCAAAAATATGTTGATACATTGATCAGTAGCTGGATTTATTGAATGACTGTTGACTGTCATAGATAGAAACAGGTGGTTTTCTATGCGTGCGTCCCTGGCTCAGGATAATATTAATAAGGCCACACGTCCTCAGCTGATTAAACACTGCGGCCGATTAGCGAAATGCTGCCAGCGCTGCTGGTGCTGGTAAAATTAACTGTAGCATTTGATAGGCGTCTGCTGGAGTTAAACGGATAACAATATGTATATAATATGGAAATGTTGCATCGCCATGACGAATAATTTGAAGTGTTGCAGTTCAGGATGTGTAAACAAAGTACGAGCACAACAAAATGTATAACTTATAAGGTCATCAGCAGCTAGAAATAAAATGAAAGATGACGTAAAGATAAAAATCTAGAGAGGAAAAAGAGGAAAGAGAGAATGAAACAAATTAAATACCAGTAAATTAAAAAATAAAAGTGAAATTTCAACAGATCCCATGTACGTACGTGTACTGTATTGTGCAAATTTTCTCTCTTTGGAGCCTTTATCTTTACTATTTTAAAGGAAAATCAGCAGGTCAGCTGAGATAAAAACCTAAGCAAATAAGAATTATCCATGGCGTTTGTGCAGTATGGGATCTTGTTTAATGACTCATTTCTGTGTTACCATAGTATGGGTTGCCTTATCAGCTGTTATAACACCTGGTGGATGTATACACTACTCTAGTGGAGCTGGTTCTACAAGATGATTTTGATACACACAGGCCAAATTTGTATCAGGAGAAATCATTTATCAAGTTTCTTTTTTTGCAACACCTGTTAAATTTAGTGAAAAGTCTAATATAATAATGAAAATAATATATAATAATAATAATAATAATAAAGCATGATAATAGTATGATTAAACCCCTCAAATAAAATGCTTGATCTTGATATTTCCTTCTAAAATGTTCAGGAAGATAGCAGTCTAAGTGACAGACCAGTCTTTTAGGACTTAATACTTGAATTAGAAATAAAGTAAAATATATTGAACAGTGATGGGCAAAGCATTGATTTGTGAATGAGAAAAATATTTTTCTTAAAATTTTTTTTGTTGGAAAAATTTGTTGATTTTCTGCTCAATCATGTATTCTAATTACTCATATATATACGCTAATGCTGGTGTGAAGACCAAGTGAGTATGAAATTTGGTTTGAAGTACAATTGGTGTTTCCTATCAACTTCCATGACTTGGATTGGAAGTTAATAGTTCATTACACTGGAGTATTCAAAGCTTCTAGGGTGCATTATTCACAAATGTCAATGAAACTATTGTACTACAAGCCTGTAGCTAGTAATTTCAAAAGTAGGGTTCTTTTTCTTAAAAGGTGGACCTTTTACCATAAAACCTTCGTTTACTTAGATAAAATTTTACCCAGAGGGGACCTTTTTCCCCAGCAAAATAGGGGGGGTCTTTTGAACCCCCTGAACCCCTCCTGGCTACGGGCCTGTACTAGGTCAACTCACTCTGCCAGGACTCTCACTGAATGAATTAATTCAAATCAACAGATTAACTAATTTAACACATAAACGTGCTTCCTCCTGGCATTGGGTAGATAGTACAGAAAAGATGGCGATACAATATGTTGTATGGAAACCAGGATACAGTGTATAAAAGTAAGAAAGGATTTTTATTTGATACCAGAGTGTCAGTCCAATATAAAGCAAAACAAGCAAACAGTTCCAAAGATGAGGTAGCGAGTCATTTCTCTTATGATGGGCAAGGGATCAATATCTTTGCAATATATCTTCACTCAAATCTATCACAAAGTTATTTTATTGGAGTAAGGGTCAAGTAGAAAGCAGCTAAGATGTGTACTGAGATATGGCAATGATAAGCTGACTTCACCCTGAGTTCCTGCTGTTGATTTCTGTTGTCAGACTAGTTACAATACAGCTAGGTTGCAAACAGTATGGGAAATATACTGACAGTCAATGAAAATGCATCATTTATTTATCAAATAATATTTTAAGTACGTTGGAACATTAAGAAACAGTTTTCGTGTGAAATATGACCCATTATTTTTACAGTTAAACGAGACTTACCTGTAAGTTGAAGTTTGACTATGATTCTACCGAGTCTTCAGGAACAGAGGGTTTACGTGAGATAGAACCGAGACCGCGCATGCTCAGGTTTTAAAGGTGTGTGGTTGTCAGGAAAAAACTGTAACTGGGTAGGGAGGGTAGGGCACGTAAACCCTCTGTTCCTGAAGACTCGGTAGAATCATAGTCAAACTTCAACTTACAGGTAAGTCTCGTTTAACTGATCTCACGTAAGCCCTGTTGTGAATGAAGACGAGGTAGAATCAGTCAAACAAGACCAAACAAGTGCATTAGTACTCGTTTATATGGTTGGAATCGATTCTCGGTAAAAAAGTACAAGAAAGTTTTCTGATGCATTTTCATTGACTGTCAGTATACTTACTACGTACAGTGTAATTATCGCAGCAAAGTCCAGATAGCTACTGACTCAGGGATGACAAGTGCTCAGTTGTAATTGACTTATATCATGGATAAAATTTAAATTAATTGCAATTGTATTTTCCTTGGAATGCACTGAGGCACAGCACCTCATGATGTAAACTACTAGTAGCTGTTACAAGTGCAATTACCCTATACTCTATAAAATATTCTTTAAAAAAGTAACCGTGAGTATATGTAATCATAAAAGGTGGAAATGTAAAATGATTATAGACAAATAAGTTGATTTTGTTTATATAGTTACAATCATGATCAATTTCATTTGCTGTGGAGAAAGCAGCCATCTTTCAGACAGCGTCCTGGGTATACCAGGGCACTCTGTTAATTAAGCTTCCAGCAAACAGTGACTCACCTGTGTGACAGGGTACCCACATCTACTGAGGAATATCACCCTGATTATCAAGGTTAAAAGTGATGACAGCATATGAATTGAATGGAATTCTAGACCTCAGAGTAACTCACAGACTCACTTTTGTGCCTGCATACATGATATACACTATCACACAATCTACTTCAAAATTTGAAAAAAAAAGTTCTATAGCTCCCTTTCTTGATAAAAATATATATTCTAGTCTAGTCTAGTCTAGTATTTAATTTATTGTTGTTATATTTTGCAAACAAAGGAATAATTATTGTTATTAGTCATTGCCTTTAAGTTTGGTTGCTATTTATGATTTTTTATATTAATTAAAGCATAACCTGCTGATAATAATATTAAAACTAATATATCAAAACATGTATAATAGTGATGAACTTATAGCCTATCTGTGGGGATGGGGGAGGCGGGGGGGGGGGAGGGCTCATAAAAATTATACATACACGTACTAGCTAACAGAGGCAATTCAGAGAGTTCCGAGCAAAGGAAACCTACATTTGGTTTGAGTAGGTTAAGTACCCCTATAATATGAAAATGTCAGAGTTTAATATTGTGCATTATCTAACCTTTAGTACCTCTTATATATTTATTGTTATGTCTGTCATAGGCAGTAGAAGCATGGTAAGCATATAGTAATTCTATACTCTGAATTAGCTTAGTTGTAAATTCCTTCTGCAGTAGATATAGGTCTGGGAATGGTGTTTTAGAGACATATGGAGTTGCTATCAGATATGGTCAGTCTCTTGGTACCTTTTTAGAGGGTTTCCAAATTCCAGGATATCTTGTCAGTCATTACAATAACTGCAGTCTGAAATAGGGCAATATTGTGTTTAAATGCACTTTAATTTCCATTCAAATGTAATAATTGCAATTCACGGAAGACTAATTGTGCAGTTGATGTGACAAATTCTTCGTCATTTACTATTTAATTTATGGTAATTTTCTGATACCCTGGAGATGAAGGCATTAGTGTACATAGCAAACTAACTTAGTAGTAATAATCAAGAATCATTCTTCATTAGATCTTATCTTGGCATTTTTTAATGAGAATTGTCATTGATGATGCGATAAATACTGCAGCTGTATAAAATTAAGAATTAAATTACTTTGTATTTTCATCAGTGCCAGATTAACTATTGTAATGGAGCTATGAATGTTTGATGCTGTTGCCTACTGATATATAGTTGAAAGTTATTATAATACCAGTATTCTAGGTAGGAGTGAGTCACTGTCATAACTCAGACATGCTTATATATACTATAGCTGTCAGTTTTCCAGTCAATCTAGCATTGAAACAATTTTTAAAGTCATGTCAGAAGTGCTCTCATAGTGTGTGCTATAAACTTTTCAGCTTAGTGGAAATTGGACTTTCATATTCCTAAAATATACAAGTCTGAATCAGGATTTACTGGTCATGCAGGAAAAAAAAAATAAGACTAGTACTGGACAGTTCTTCTATTTCAATATAGTACACTAGTGATATCAATTAAGACCTTGATTTTATCAAATTTTTTTCAGAATCATCTTGTAACAGTTATGTTTCAGGAAAAAATTAAATTGAATTGAAAGCCCTTTTCAAAACTACCAGAAAAAAAAAAATTGAATGGCCATGCTGGCCCACTAAATTTGCACATTCTGAAAAATCTACTGGTCCAAACAAAATTTTAATGGCCTTAGGTTTAGGCTGGCCCCAATGGATAACATCACAGACTGCTTTTGTTATAAGTGTATTTTGTATGTCATAGAGGAAAAAGACTCTAGAAGACATCAACAAGTGGGTATTACCGCCTGAAGCCTGCTGTGTTGTGCTGAAAATAACTGATATTGTTCTTATTTGAGTGCTCTTAAATGTATACACTTCAGCTGTGGAAGGTTTGGCATGTGTTCTGTTGATGGTGTTTACCATGTCCAACTCCTTACAGGCATTTGCACCCCCACCTTTAATAATTACATATTTCTTTTTAGTTAATTTTAATTGTGTCACTATAATATATCAGCCTTACCGTATAATTAATTTTTAAATTCCATTACAAAACATCCCGGTGACTCCCTTCGCCACATCATTAAGTTTTCATGTAATTATTAAACAGAG